TTAATATAATAATAACCATATATTATTAACCAAAGTTCAACACGAAATAACATTAATTAAACACAAAACACATTAAACGAAGAACAACAATCACAAAACAACTAAAGAAACAAATCATAGCCATCCTCTATTGCCTGTACTTTTTGAGGCTTGAATTTGTGCTTTCTCAATACTGCATGTACAGTTAGTTCCCTTTGATGCTCTAATATTATTAGAAACTTCCCAAATGGAAGTTCTTGGGTTTTCTTCAACGTTAAGAAGAACATTGAACATGAGAACATCGAATTCTCATTAAATTGGCGTTCTTCTCGCTTTGGTTTCTTAAAAGCACCATAGTTTCTCAAATTTTCTTCAAATCTAAAAAATCTGCGTAATTCTGGAACATCTCTGCGACGAAATAGTTCTCTGTAAAGTCGGACTCCTGAACAACAGTTTTTATTACATCAAAAGTATACCTGAATCATGTCCGTCAACTGATTATTATTACTCATATTTTGCACTGTTGAGCTTATTTCAATAAATAACCTACTATAAATGACACAGAAAGAGAAAATGCGTAAAAAACTAGGACACGAACGCTAAAATGACAATTACTTTGTTGTATTATTTTATTTTCCAGGCATACATGATTAGTCAAAATATGTTTGTTGTCAATAAAGCAACCATCGCTAATAATGACGTATTGACTAATATTTTCATACTTTTTCTGTAATACATGTTTCACAAAAGTAAACTTTATATACATCGTTGAATTTAGAATAAAAATCTGTACAATAATAAATAATAAAAAAATCTATATTGCCATTTGAAAAAAAAAGTTGACTATCGCTTTTTAATAAAAAATAATAATAAATACGCTCTAATAGGCTCTCTCTATAGTGTTTTAGAGCCATTTCATATAATTTTTTGTTTTTTAGGAGACAGCCTGTATAATAAAATAAAGGAAGAAAAATAAAAGGGATAGTGCCAACTTTTAATACCCACATTATACAGGGCAATGAACTGAACACAAATACAATACACGAAATTGTAAACCAGCGACGATGTTATACTGATATATTATATAATTAGCAACCCCAGAATGTCGACAAATTTTGAGTATTTGGAAATTGAATAAATGTATTCAACTCCTACCGCAATTTATTCAAATTTGATCAAAAACGAACCGATTCATTTATTTTAAAATAATCTTCATTATTCATTCACTTCATTCAGTATTCATTTCACAAAATAACAATCTATAAAGGAATTTTTGCCTTAAATACAATATACTTAGCTATCAAAGGTTAAAGATATCATTAGCTTAGGAATTTTAAATTAAATAACTCAAAAAATATTTATTATTCAAATAAAATGGAAGACAATCTTCTTAGAGATATTTGAAAAACGTGTTTTTTTTCTCTCTCTCGAAAACGAGTAATAGCTTGAAGTTATGACATTAACTTAGGAAACACGTATGAGGTATGGTACTACAGATATTAAAAAATAAAAAACAAGAGTTTCAACATAAAATTTAGTACCCATATCCATAGTATTTAAAGTAAATCAATATCCTCACGTTTTAAAATTATACAGGTGCCCCGTTCCTTCTGGACGTTACTTTAGTTCATTTTTTCGCGTGAAACACAAGTACATCTACATCTTTGAATTTCTCGTTAAATTTACAAAGTATTTGATAATATTGAATCTTAAACGTATTATTTCATTTTTAAAAAAAATTGTCGTTTCTTCGAAAATATCAAATATTTCTCATAATATATACGCACGACAGTAAAATGCGATTTCTACACTGATTGAAACCTGAAAAGACCTATCTTTACATTACTCTCTACATTTCGATAGAAAAATAGTTTTTGATTATAGATATATTGATTTTTTTAAATAAAACCCTATATTCAGTTTGATACAAAGTTTTCTTCAAACTGATTTATTAATGTCACATAATAGTACTGTTTCCAATACAAAATAGTAAAAATGTCAAGAGAATAGTAGAAACAATATTAAATAGTTGCATCTCCTGATCTAACAAAATATGACATTCTCTTGTGATGATTTATAACTAAAATTTATTCTTCACCACCCATTACAATGTAAGAAATATGCAAAATCGAAAAGGCAAAAGCTATAAGAGGACCCCGAAATTCTTGATATCGTTGATGAGAATTTTAAAAAACCTATTCCTTTTTGTGCGCAGCAAAATGGTATGTTTTTAAAACCATGTGCTGACTTAATGTGATCATATTTTAAACAAGGATGACTACTTTGACAGCAAATCTATTTGCACATTCTTGTAACTATTTTTCTATTATTTAGGTAAGTTTTACTTTTTACTAATTTTGGTTTCTCTGTCCATTTTATATGTGACACCATTTTTTAACGCGAAAATAGCAAGACGAAATATGATATAATTAAATGACTTTATTTGAGCTAAACTTTAATGAAAATTAAAGTAACCAACCTAACATTGAACGACAAATTTTTCTTTTTGCTACAAAAAAGCGGAACAGAGACAGCGGATTACACAGCGGTTACATTTAGGGTCACAATTATTCACCTCTTTGTATGTACTCTGTAAGTAAGTGAAAACTCCAGAAATTCTCAATAAGTGTTAACAATTTCATTTATTATTAACGTTCCGTTTTTGATTACTGAAAATTCATATTATTAACAGAATAATTCCGCTCATCATTAAATCCTCTCCTCACCATGTCTATAATCACTCTATATAAAGAAAGACTTACTTATTTAATCAAGGGTATGAAAAGTGAACAAACTAATAATGCTTCGAAAACAATTAAAAATTTATTAATTTATTTTTGAATATTTAATTTGATAAAATATTGTCACGGTGCAAGAACCATGATTGTCTCATCACAAATCTGGTCTCTTTTTGCGGATTTTTTCACGTAACTATTGATAGTACACACTTTATTTTCTCAATTAAAGTCGAAAAAAACTATGAGCAACACTTTGACATTGTATCGAGACGGATGTGCTTTCTTGGTTCATTCCTTTGCCAATCCATTGTGATGATTGATCTTTTNTCTCTTTTTGCGGATTTTTTCACGTAACTATTGATAGTACACACTTTATTTTCTCAATTAAAGTCGAAAAAAACTATGAGCAACACTTTGACATTGCATCGAGACGGACGTGCTTTCTTGGTTCATTCCTTTGCCAATACATTGTGATGATTTTATATTTTGTCTCAGTGTCGTAGCCAGCTTTCGTCTCCTGTTATGATCCTTTGAATGTTTCATCGTCACTGGATTGTTCAAAGATTTGCCGACCAACATCCACCCGATTTTCTTTCTGTTGTTCGGTTATCATACGAGAAACAAATTTTGCTGCAAATCATGCATGTTCAATTTTTCAGTCAAAATTTCTTGGCATGACCCAATTGAGTCAATTGGTGATATGCACGCACCAGGTCTTTGACTTTGTGAATGCGGGAATCATCAGTTAAAGTCGACGGCCTTGTTGACCGAGGATCATCTTCAATTGACTGACGACCATCCTGAAGACCATTCGTAATATTGCATACGGCTCAGAGCATCATTTCCGTAAGCTTGTTTGAAAAGTTTCCATGAAAGTTTTCCCCAGTTCCATGGAAACTTTTACGTTGCACCGTTGTTCCAGAAAATTTCACACCTTTCAAGAATCGTCACTAACATTTAAACACAATGAGATATCAATAATACAAGAACATGTAGTTACAGAGAAGGTTATGCGCAATCGTATATCACTAAATATATCCATTAGCTCGTAAATCAAAAAGTTATGTTACTTTCTAAACGGACCNGTCTCTTTTTGCGGATTTTTTCACGTAACTATTGATAGTACACACTTTATTTTCTCAATTAAAGTCGAAAAAAACTATGAGCAACACTTTGACATTGTATCGAGACGGATGTGCTTTCTTGGTTCATTCCTTTGCCAATCCATTGTGATGATTGATCTTTTGTCTCAGTGTCGTAGCCAGTTTTCGTCTCCTGTTATGATCCTTTGAATGTTTCATCGTCATTGGATTGTTAAAAAACTTGCCGACCAACATCCACACGATTTTCTTTCTATTGTTCGGTTATCATACGAGAAACAAATTTTGCTGCAAATCATGCATGTTCAATTTTTCAGTCAAAATTTCTTGGCATTACCCAATTGAGCCAATTGGTGATTTGCACGCACCAGGTTTTTGACTTTGTGAATGTGGGAATCATCAGTTGAAGTCGAAGGTCTTGTTGACCGAGAATCATCTTCAATTGACTGACGACCATCCTGAAGACCATTCGTAATATTGCATACGGCTCAGAGCATCATTTCCGTAAGCTTGTTTGAAAAGATTCCATGAAAGTTTTCCCCAGTTCCATGGAAACTTTTACGTTGCACCGTTGTTCCAGAAAATTTCACACCTTTCAAGAATCATCACTAACATTTAAACACAATGAGATATCAATAATACAAGAACATGTAGAAGGTTATGTGCAATCGTATATCACTAAATATATCCATTAGCTCGTAAATCAAAAAGTTATGTTACTTTCTAAACGGACCTCGTAGAGAAAAGAGGGATAAAAGAAAAAAATATACAATTTTTAATAATTATTATTTTTTGAAAAAGGAATTAAGATTAACGGGTAGGAGATTACATGATTAAGCAATCTACTAAAGCTGGTACAAGGAAAAATTATTATCAATATCAATGATACGTTCTTTATTGATGACACTATTTATTAAATAAAAAATTTTATTATTTCAAAAAAACGTAACTGGTAAACCAGATTATCATTATTTTTTAACTGCAATAAAATTAGAATATTCTTGTAAGAGGATTAAATCAATTCGAAATTTAATATCCATTTCCTTTATAAACATTTATAAAACAAGTACAAGAAATTAAAGCTTTGCTCAGTTCTTTGTACACTCTACCACTATCTTCTTAAACAATTAAATTCTGTTTTTTTCGCAGTCGAAGCTTAATTAAAATAATGGCTTCATTTCAGGCACTCCCCCTTCACAAAGGGTCCAGTTTATACTTGGTGAGGACATAAACGATGAGAAACATGAAAGTCATCCATTATTCTCCGAAATGGAGGAGCTCGTCACGGAGGGCGACGACATGGAATGGAAAGAAACCGCCAGATGGATCAAATTCGAGGAGGACGTCGAAGAGGGAGGGAATCGATGGTCGAAACCCCACGTCGCCACCCTTTCCTTGCACTCACTCTTTGAACTGCGAAGTCTTTTGCTGAACGGAACCGTCGTGCTGGATATGGAAGCTAGCTCTATTGAACAAATTGCTGATTTGGTGATAGACAATATGATTAACAACGGCAGTTTGCAGTTCGAGAAAAAGGACAAAGTCAGAGAGGCTCTACTGAAGAGGCATAGGCATCAGCACCAGAGGAAGAACCATGGGTTACCTTTCATCAGGTCTTTCAATGAAATGAGGAATCATTCTACTTCTAAAAGTAAGTAAAATTTTGGTTAGGCATATCTGAATATTTGGGAGTTTTAATTAAAAATATTGTAATTTGTTAGAAATCAGCTGTTAATATGACGTGAAATGTGCTAGTCTAATTTTATGAGTTATTTTCAAATACAACTACAAAATGTAATTTATCCAGGTTGATTCGATTTTTATTGATTAAACTTTAGGAACAGGTAGATTATCAGAAAATAACGATAGTTTACTTGTTTACCAGATGTATATAGGTACTATATCTTTTAAGATGCAGTATTAAAGTTGTTTAAAAAAAAAGTACATTCTACAATGTTTTACCTACGGAACATCCTGCGTTTAGAAAAAGTTTGTGAAAATGATTTTTCTTAAGGAAACTTTAACACTCCGTATGTCGAAAAGTAAATATTCTTCGAATATAGAGTATGGTGGTAAACTATTATTATTATTTGATAATGTATCTATTCCTACTTCTCTATGTTTCGTTAATCAAAATCAAACCACCCTGTATAAATAAATGAAGGATATTTCACCAGTACCAGTTTTTATCTATTCCAGGAATAAAAAAACTATAAATTATTATATGTATACACAAATTATCAATCAGGTAACAGAAAATTGTACTTACTGAGTCTAGTTAATTTTACACTTAATATTTGTTTTGCATTAGTTATAAAATAATGTTTGTAAATGTTAGTGCCGAATTCAAGATTATTCCGTACTGAGGATTAGAACTGTAAATTTCAGATGGATGTACCCTTTCCTGTGTAAGTCCTCCACGAAAACGTAAGCAATCGATAGACAGCATGAATGAAAAAGTCAAGAAAAACGGTTCCTATATTTCAATTCCAGGTTAGACAATAGACTCACGCAATTATATCCACGGCTGAAATGTTGTCATCGCTGCTGATTCCTTTAAAAGGGTGCAAGTAATGTAAAATGTAAATTAAACAGATTTTATTTTTGTATTATCCCCAACTAAATCATTTACACTATTTATTTGGGTATCTGTAGAACAATAGATTGTTCCTAAGGATATAAACTTATCTTTATAGGTTAAGTACAAAATGTGGAATAACTGGAATGTTCTTAAAATTTATTATTCTCTATTATTTCCAAATTTTTAAAAATTTATTTGCCATACGTTTACGCATTTCAATTTTTCTTATTGCTATTAGTTTTTGTAATAAACAAAAAAAAATATGATTTCTCTCAGATATCATCTTACGGAAAGAAATAGAAAAATTAAGTATATAACGTTAACCTTCTTAGCAAATGTCGTAAGGCCATTTTTTTCCAGACAGAGATTTTTGTGGACTTAGGACTCTTTCTGCCCTTGAATCAAATGCAGTGGACATTCGACATTATGCGTTTTGATGTTTCCGCGTGCTGTTTACTACTAAAGTAAAATCTGACTTCTCAGTTCATGCACTGCCAGCGAGATGCCACCAAAATCTGTCTGGATGAAAAGTGGACTTACGACATTTGCTAACAATAAGTAGGTTAACGATAATACATGCCTATAAAAATATTGAGTCGGTTATCATAACAGCGATAAAAAAATTATAATTTTTATTTAATTTTCAAAAATTTCTTACAATTTACCTTAATATAAAAAAAAATAAAATTGAAATGAAACTGTCTAAGAACAAACACATTTTCAGAATGAGAATAATTAATTGATTTTTAGTCCTAATTAATTAATGTGCGTTCTTTAGGACCCTTTTATCGGTTCCTTTCAGCAAATAAAAGGAAGGGAGAGATAATTACTTTGATTTTGTTTCGTGTACGCGTACACATTATTTTTTTAAAAACCAGTAATACTTATAAATTGAATTGGCATTCACATAATCAATATTACATTTATTAGTAAAAAAAAATTCTGAACCCAAATAACTTAATTTTCCTGTAATATTTTCAGAAAAAAATAACATTTCAATAATTAATCAGATCCAAAATCCTATAAAGGATATTGTTAATTATTATAACTATACATTTAATCACTCCACTTTAAATTCAATTAAGTAAGAATTACCATTACCATTAGATTTCTTCTATAATATGGTTATAATTTATTGTTACAATGATAAAATAAAATAGAATTTTGTAATGGAAAAATACAAATTATAGGATTAAGCGAGATTAAAGGCCGGTTTTTTCACCTCCTAATAGATTTACTTTACCAATTAAATCTATATCTGCCTCATAAACAACATAAATGCATAAGAAAGTAACAGAAATAGGTTTAAATAGCAGTCGAAAAATCCAGCCATAATGGGTAATTTGCATTTATTGTTTTAAATGTCTAGAAATAATCTATAATCTTATTAGTGAAGATATCAGAAATCTCTTGAGGGTGTTTATTATTTAACTATTAAAGTTTGGCTCACAAAATAAATTATTAAATTACACCTTGTAGATCTTTAGTGTTTGCAACCATTCGTTGAGTAATTGTAACATTTAACTAGACACTAGCCCTGATAAGTAAATAAATTATTTGATATCCGCATCCGTAACCGACAGGTTTAGAAAATTTGCAATAGAATCTGCATCTGAAGATGTTTGAAAAAATGACATCCATAACATCATTGATTCATAGGTTTTTGGATTCGTTTGTTTATGACTTATGACAGTCATAGCATTTGATAATTTTGTTGGAATAATTAAATTATTATACACTCTGATATGTAGAAAAAACCAAAGCCAAAATAAATGAAAATATATATTTTCCATTTGAAAAATAAGGTTAGTGAAAAATTGTAATATCTCTGGAGTCATTAACGCCAATCTCCTGTTTTTTTTTTTAAATTGGAATAAATTCTTTGCGGCATAAAAGACATTCATTATTTTAAAATGAGTTCAACGAGACAAGATAAAATTCGCACAAGACTAGTACTAACAAATAACAATAAGACAAAATATAAGTTAATTGATGCTTCTTTATATCATTATTTATTATTACCCTTTATAAAATACTTTTTTCGTAAAAACGACCTTACATTACTTGCTCTATTTATAAGGAATCAGTGCACACTTTGAAACATTTAAAATTAACAAACACTGCTTGGGACGCTTTAAGTAAATGGTGGTGGTCAAAACTGTTAACTGGTTAAAATGTATAAAATTGTTAATCGTGTCCATATTTATTTTTCTGTAGGTTCTACATTCAGTTTACAAATGCACTAGTGCTACTAACCGTACCATTGTTACCTCAAATAATGTAGATTTCACATGCAATGCTTTACAAAATATTGAAAATATAGTGTAGTTCGTCTTCCTAGATGTTAAATTTAAGTTCACTAATGAAGTCATTTGAATTTTGATAGTTTTATAAAAAAAAAGTGATTACAATTTTGTAATGAATAGTTGTAATGACAAATACATGAACAACTAATTATGTGAAATAGAGAATTTAGCATACGATTTGCGAATTCACAAATTCGAGTAAGCTGTGTATTCCTAAGCTAAAAAGTAGGCCAGTCTGCACATGCACACAAAGTAAATAAAATACTTTTTGCAATACCATTCATGTGGTATAATTTTTTTTAAACGGTTTGAATTTAATAGTTCAATTCTGACCCATACTTATGGCTCCACTGTAATATTCTGTAGATTCAAAACTATACCTGATTCAGGGCAACATTTTTGAAACATTATATTCTATTTATGTGTGAATAGGAATAATCCGTATAATACAATAAATATAAAACTTGGATGAATGTAGAAAAGTAAATTATGGTGCCGCAAAAATAAGTTGTAGAACGAGAAGGAGTCTGGTTCTAGTCCTCCCACAAGATTATGGTTAGTAAATATAATTTTTTTACCAAAACTTTATAAATAAATTTTAAAAAAAGGGAAAAATTTGGTGCGCTGGCAATTTAAACCCATGTTGGTTTTGTGAAACACCATGTATGTATAAAGACCTAAAATGGTATCTGATTAGTAAACAATTTTTTTCACAGTAATAATAATTCAACATAAATAAGAACACAGTAAAACGAAATCCTCCCTGCCTGGGCTCTAACGTAGTCATGATCAAATATGTGAAACACAATGTACGAGGTCTGTTAAAAAATAACCGAACTTTACTTTTTTATACTTCATTATTAATTTTATACATTATTGGTCTTTGTCTCCTTCAAAATACTCCTGGATAGCTTAATTTGAAATGGTCGTGGTGAATTTGCTTTGATGTCATCAATAATCTCAAAACGGCGTTCTTTCGGTGCTGAATTAAATTTTAGTAATAAGAAATAATCACAAGAAACCTGGTCTGGCGAGTAAGGAGGGTGAAAGAGGACAGTAATCTGATTTTTGGAACAAAACTGACGAGTTGACAAATCTAAGTGTGCAGGCGTATTCTCATGGTGCAAGCTTATGATTTGTCTCGCCACAACTTTTGTGGATTTGCGTCTCAATGTCGTTAGCCGTAAACCTATCTTTCGTCTCCAGTTATGATCGTTTGAATAAATGTTTCATCGTTATTAAATTTTCCAAGGAGTTGACGTCAAACGTCCACATGAATTTCTTTCTGTTGTTCGGTCATCAAAGGAGGAACAAATTTTGCTGCAACTCGGTGCATGTTCAATTTTTCAGTCAAAATTTCATGGCATGACCCAATTGAGATGCTAACCTGTGCTGCAATTTTTCTGACAACCAAGTGGGAGTCATCATTTGAAGTCGAAGGCCTTCCTGGTCGAGGATCATCTTCAATCGGCTGACGACCACTTTTAAATCGTGAAAACCATATTGTGGATCCAGATGCTATTAACAATTATTTTCTAGACTCCATCCCTAATACTACTGCTAATGACGAATATGTCCAATGTTTTTACACCTCTGCTTCGTCAACTAGCATCTTGGAATATTCACCTGTTTATGTTAATGAAATTGAAAGTTTGATTTATAAACAAAAACCGCATAGTACTGGGTTTGATGGTATTTCTGGTAGTATGTTACAAATAAGTACGCCTCTGATTGCTTTTCCTCTTATACATATAATTAATTATTCTTTTGAAACTGGAGTTGTTCCATATCAATGGAAAACATCAATTGTTACCCCTATTCCTAAGAAATCGCATGCAGATTTATGACCTATTAGTTTGTTGTCAGTTCTGCTTAAAATTGCGGAGCAGGTTATTTATAATCAGCTCATCACTCACTTTAATTATAATAATGTTCTACCTTCTAACCAATCAGGATTTCGTAAAAATTTTAGTATAGGAACGGTACTTGCTGCTGTGGTTGATGATACTTTACGGGCTATCGACTCTTCTAGGATTTTAAGCCTCACGCTTTTAGATATGGCGAAAGCATTTGACTCAATAGATTTTAGCTGCCTATTGGCCAAACTATTTTTCTATGGAATTCATAATAAATGTCATGATTGGTTTGATTCCTATATTAAAGACAGAATGCAACTTATTAGAATTAAAACTGAAAATGATTCTTTATTTTCTGAACCTAGAATAATAAAATCTGGAGTGCCACATGGCTCTGTCCTGGGGCCTTTACTTTTTAGTATATGTACTGCGGTCTTTGTATCGTCTGTAGTGCACACTACTTTGCACATGTATGCAGATGACTTACAAATTTTGTACAGCTTCGAAATTGAGAATAAACAAACTGCTGTTGATTTTATTAATAATTCTGACTTGCATCGGATTAAGAAGTTATGCGATAAAAATGCTCTAATGCTTAACCCAAATAAATGTAAAAACCTAGTTATCGGTACTTATCAAAAAAACTAGACAGTTAGGGGATTTTGCTGTTTATATTAACAATTGTCCTTTGGAAAACTGTAGGTCACTAAAGAATCAGGGTCTTGTATTTGAAAATGACCTGAAATTCTCACAACATGTTAGTGAATTATGTAAGAAGGCGTTCATCTCCTTTAAGCAAATAGCGCCTTTAAAACGTTATTTGAGCTCTGACATTAAATTAGTATTGATTGAATCCTTAGTTTTGTCTCATCTAAATTATTGTGATTATGTTTATGGTCCTTTACTTACAAATGCTGATAAATTTAAACTGCAAAAAATTTAGAATTGGTGCATGTGTTTTGTCACATATATACCCTGTCTTCACCATGTTACTCCTTTTATTAGACAGTTTGGTAAATTAAGACTCAGTGAAAGACGCTATGTTAATTTTTGTGTTTTTGTAAATAATATATCTACTGTGTAATACAACTCCTGACTATCTTTATGAGAAGTTGGTTTGGCGACATGATGTACATGATCGTCAGCTTCATAATTTACAAGATTTGCAAACAATGCGTCATCGAACTGAGTATTTTAGATGTTCATTTATCTATTTAGCAGCTATGATATTAAATAATGTACTGGTGCCTCAAGACTTAACACTCCGTAATGCACCTCTGATTAAGAAACGCATTCGTGAGTTGGTCATGGAAAACGATAACTCCACAAATGCTGCTGTTTTTTAGTTTTAGTTTTTTAGTTTTTGACTTGTATTAATATAATATCCGTGTGTGTATGAGTGTGTGTCTGACTATACTACGTATGTATATTTATAAGTTATATTGTTTTTTACACTGTTTTAATAACTCTTTATAATCATATTGCTTTTAATATGTGTAAATTAATCGACTTTCTGAGGGGTAGGCTAATCATCAGTTATCTGTGTCTAGCCCTTTTGTGTATAGGTTGTATATTACCATTGTAACTATGCACAATAAATTTTTTTTTTGACCTTAACATTTCCTACGACCCAGAATTGCATATCCGTAAGATTGTTTCAAAAGTTGAAACGTTTCTGTGAAAGTTATCCCCATTTTCACGCAAAATTTGCATCGTTATTCCAGAAAATCGCATATTTAAAAAATCGTCACTAAGACTTAAACACGTTGCGTTCAAATAACAATACCACGAAAACTAAATGAGATATCAACAATCAAAGAATATGTGATTACAGAGGAGGTTAAACGCAACGTAGTGCTGCCAACTGCATATCACTAAATATTTCTATTAGAGCGTAAGTAATTAAAAAAATTCGGTTATTTTCTGAACATACCTCGTATATTCTAGAGGAGGTTATCTTGTCTCTCACCTCTCTTACTGAAAAAGTAAATTTTCGACGAAGACTTATCAAAATGAAAATTTGTAGAGGAAACATGAAAAAGTCGGCATCCAATTATCCACATCGTAAAAGGAGAATTATTCAAATATTCTTGATACGATTAGTAGTTTTTATCATCAAAAGAGAGATACACACGTCTAGGTAAAAATTTTCAAATTTAAGACTTCAAAAGTGCCGCTGATCTTATTGTTTTATAAGCTGTCAGTAGAATGAAATATTTGTATTGACGTCTCGTAGCGATTAAATCCACTACAATATTATTTTCACGTGATGAAACTTGACAATTTTATTATATTATTATAAAATACTTTATGATTATACAGATTGTAAAAAGAATAGTCCGTACGATATTTATCGAGATAGAGATCCAAGAAAAGAATAAGCCAATAAAGTTCTGTTACCGAAATCTACCGTGGCAGAGACGTGTTTTGAAATTTTTCGCCAATGTCTTTCTACCTCGGGTGTCGAATGCAGTTAATTCCAAGGAAGTGACGCTAAGATCTTCTTGGATTCTATATCAATAAATAATATCGTACGGACTATATTTGGCCAAGTTTTAATGACAAATGAACAAGCAACTGATTATGTGACTAAGGAACAAATGAACAAAAAAATATCTCGGAAGACTCTCTATTTTGGAGACACAGTATATTGAATACTGAGGTAAAAATTCAACAATTCAAATTTGTTACAGTAATTCCAGAGTTGGACGAATTTCATATAAGTACCTATTTCAAATCTGACCCACTATTACGACATAGTATTAAAGGTTTTTAAAAAATATATTTTTTTTTACTGCATGTTGCTAGAATTTTTGCTAAAAGTGTCAAACAAATTATAACACTGCGCCACAAAATAAAAAAGTGGATTGTGCTTATATACTTAGTACTTTGACTTGCTAAATCTGAATTTAAAACAGAAGTCCGGGATCAATTCGTTTTTTGACTTTAACATTAAGACATTCCTCTAGAAAGATGTTTTCGAGGCAGTGAAAAAAAATTCAAATTCATGATTTCATTGGATTGCAACCCTATAATCAAGTAGGTTCACAAGATGTGCTAGAGTGTACAACTATAAAACCGTGGGGACATGGATTTCATACTTCAGAGATCCAAAAATATGTGATTATGAATTGACATGTTTCCCTAATCCCATAACCCTGTAATCCTGGGTGTAAGAGGATGTGTAACCACGAACTCGGAATTAAAGAGGAATTGTGTCTCTAGTCCTGTTGTAATTCCCTTAACCTGGTACATGCAAGCTACTGTAGACCAATTATCTGGGGCATACAAATTTGTGCTACAATGCCAATCGTTTTTGTACCTAAGCTGAAGGAATAATGCGCCACAAAAAAGACATTATATCCTATAATATTTTGTAACATCAAAAACCTATTTTGAACAATTTTGATTGCAATAACTTACGATTCAAGAAGCATTATTACGTTCTTTCTGTGTAGATACAAAGAGAAAAAACCCGGGTGACCATGTAACACGAATCTATCTATATACACCAGATCATCGATCTAGAGGAGTTTGTATGCCCCAGGTTAAAATACTACGGTGTGACAACAGTATTACAGACTCAATTCCTCAGAGCTTTCTATTACATCTTCGTACACCCAGGACATAGGGTTTCGGGACTATCAGGCCATGGTGTTATGAAAGCTTGCTAACTCACAATCATGTAGATTCAGACTCCTAATGTATAAGATCCATCTTCCCACAGAGTTTCATGATTCTACACTTTCGCACATCCCGGTTTATGGGGATAAGGGATTATGGGATTACTATGCAATGATAACATGAATTAAACGTTTTTGCTATGGAGTGTATACAAGGAGCGAAGACCTCGTGTCAAAAAAATGAGCCATTTCTTGGATCACGCGCGACTCTGTAAGCGCAACTTAGTTACTGACTCCATGGCATCAGCAATACAACGGCAACTCCTTAAACTTTAATTTTGTAATAAAACGGGATCCGAATTTATATGCGCGTCACTCCTTGTCTACACCATAGTTTTTCCAATCGTTGATTCTCTCAAGTCAGTTTGAAATCTAGAAGGAGTTTCTTGAAAAAGAACTGATTTGAGAATTCCGACTTCAAATTCGGATTCAGCAAGTAAAGTATGAAATACACTAGTCTGATTTAAGACCCCACCCACTTTTTTTATTTTGTAGCGCTGTGTAATAATTATCGTTGAATTAACCACGTTATTTATGAATAAAATTAAATATTACTTACATACTTTCAACTTTTTTTTTTAAACTTGATGTAAATTCTTGATATTCTTATTAATTTTGAATACCCTGTATCGATTTCCGCATACACATTTATAATAACTTTTTGTTGAATACGAATAAAAAAAAGGGAAAGTTAAGTATCGAAACCGGATTATTTTGAACCCATTTTTCTTCGTTTTGTAACTTTCAATCCGCTCTTTCCAATACGCCGTTCTTTGGGGCGGATCGAAAGCTCTAAGATAAACGTATCTCTAAACTCTAAAAAGGTGTATTAAGATATCCCTGATTGTATTCACAGCCGAAGAGTATACGACACATGTCCAAGGATTTACGACATGGTTCACTTTACGTCATCCTCCTAAAGGTTAGGTCAGGGTGCTATCTATGTTGGTTTTTTCTACAGACACTTGAAAATTTCTGCACATTTTTTATTTTCGCATGTATTTTGCATATTTCATATTTTACATGACGTATAAATTATCTACTATTTTATATGTATATTACTTACCTATTTTTATAACCTCAGGCGAAATATTCCTCTTTGTGCACCCTTAAAAAACTATTGGATGTGCTATGGATTTATTGTTTGAATGAATATTTTAAATACGCCACGGTAATTTTTTTTAGCACAGCAACGTTACTAGATTTTTGTGATATATTGGCTGCTTTGTTTATTATAAAAAATGAGTGAATATGGGTTGTTTAATTCGAAAACTAAAACATATAAACAATAAAAATAAAGTGAATGTGGAATTATTGTCGTTGAAATTGTTTCAATACATACGACGCATATCCACAAAGAGTACTCAATTCTTATTTAAATTGAAATGGCAATATGTATTTATGAAAAATTTACGTATTCAGAAAGGTACATCAACCACTATTTTTCGACGTAGTCGCCTTCAACCTCAATGTCCTCTGTAAGCCGAGGGATCAGCTCTCTGATACATTTGTCAAAAAATCTCCTGCTGCCTCTTGGGAGCTCTTTTTCACGGCACTGTGGCCGCCACGTCGGTAGAAAACTTTTTCTACCCATAAACACATTCAAAGAAGAGAAAAGTTGAAAATCAGAAGGTGCCAGATCATGGCTGTGAGCAGGGAGGTTAATGATGTTCCAACCGAATTAATCCAAGACATGCTTTGTGGCGTTGGCTGAGTGGGGATGAGGATTGTCATGCAGCAAGCACAGTACCATGCAGCATTAATTATTTCTTTCCAAAAAGTTAATGAGGAGAATCCACCTACGGTCCCAAAACACAGTTGTAATGATTTTTTGGTGCGAAACAACGGTTTCTATTTTTTTCGCTGACAGTAAAGACAAATGTCACCACTTTGACTGTCTTTTCGTCTCAGAGGTGTAGCGTCCACCCACGTTTCGTCGCCGGTCAAGGAATTGTTTACTAGGCGAATTCGGAACAGCGGCACTCATTTCAATACGCCACTACAACAACAGTTCTCAACTGACTAAGACAAATGAGGGCGCGTTCTGTTTCCAACACCTTAAATGTTAACTTTGTTGAAAACAAAAACCACAGAGCACTACCTACCTAGAGTCTCAATACTCTTTGTGGATATGCCTCGTATGTCTACCTACCAATTCGAAATTCTTGGAGAATAACTCAGTATTCGACATGTTTTATGTTTTTCTGTCGAATACAAGTTAGTTACAGTAATGGATTGCTATATATTGGAATACTGGGTGTCTTAATATTCGATGTGCATGGAACTAATCGACATTCTTGAGGTGAAGATAATATAATTTAACTGAACTTCAATCTAAAGCTGCTTCATTTAACCGGTAGAAGGCGTAAAAGTCGATATAAATTTTAGTTCTTTCAAAACTCTAAAACCCATTGTCTAAGTTCCACAAATAAATGAAATTTAGTCATTGTACTTGTATAGACCTTGCAATTTTAGTTCTTGTTTTATCAGAAAAGTAAGGGGTTTTTAAGTTCTTCATTCCCTGCAAATTTTTTTAATTCTGATTTATTTCTAAATGGCGGATCCAATATAGCAGATGTAAAAATCGGAAAAGAATTCAATATTTGCAGAATATGGCTAAAATGGCGGAGCTATTATGGTGAATTGAAAAGTACCAAGAAAATTGTTTTTTACCACTCAAAGAAATGCGTTATGAATGTTTAAAAAATTATTTTTCTCAATATTTCACCCTATTTTAGGGGAAATTTTAGCGTTTAATTAAAGAAACACCCGATAAATCGGTTATTTGAGCTATGCATTCGGATTCAGCATAAAAAATACACAAGATCTATGTACACTCGACGCAAGATAAAGGTTTCCAATCTGAATCGTATTTTCTTTGAAATATGACGGCTTCCATTAAACTCATGTGGCAATATTTGACCGTCACATCTGACATTTTACGAGTTTTGTACAAAAATGCTTTCTTGGTAGATTGGCATTTTTAAAATGGGACTAATCGGCAAACTCTTATAGCAGACTCTTGTTTCTATTAAAAGAGTTGCATTTACATTACAATAGAAAAATCGATTAGTCGTTAATAAATCTTGCGAAACGTATACTACCTACTTAAGAATAGTTAGATTGAATGGATTTAAGAAAATTAAAAATTTTATTTATTTTTTTTATTTTGAAAACCCTGCCTTGTACTATTAAAATTAACAGAGTTAGGGAGGCTGGAAGTTAAGAGAAGATTTCAGAAACTTAAAAAAATCATAACAAGCAGAAAAATTAATGAATTTTGTATTTTTTTCTTTTCAATCTACTCTGAAAAATGTAACTTTTCTTTTCAGAGAAACAGATATAATTTTTAATTTTTAATAAGAAAGTTATAATAACAATTTCAAATTTTAATTGTTAATTTTAATGATGTAACAAAACTAAAACAATTTTTTTATCTATACTATTCGATTGATTATATTTACAATAATGAAAAGTTTGAATTTTTTTTACGTTTGTTTTTTAGACAGATACAAATTTATTTACCTTTTTATATTTTGAATTTTATTTGGCTCCTACGACACTGCCAGGACAAAGATAAAAAATCACGTTCGTTTTGTCGCACTCATGGTACCGAAGTTGTGGACAACTCATATGCTTATGACAAAGATAGATAATTTCGTTCGTTATTATCAATGCGCGTGCGTCAGTAAACGTGTGTTTCTTTAAATTATTGTATGCTCAATATCCATTGTTAATCTCAAAAAGGTAAATACATATTAATAAGGACTAATATTTTTTCTTTTAGCCTAAAACGGATTTAAACGGATGCAAACTAACCCTCATGTTCACCCCCAAAAATGATATTTCCGTGATGGCTCGGGTTCTAATCAATGTTTTGGAATGAAACAAAAAGGAAATTACTTCTTATAAAAAAACATTTATGGGCTTATATAATGCGTCAGTTGAATAAACAGTATGACGATATTCCACCAAACAGATACGCTCTGGGAACGTATACAAAATATTTGGAACGCTATAGACGTGAATTATATACGACGCCTTGTTACATCCACAGACAATATAGCGTATCGCCAATAAATCAAGTTAGAATTAAAACTATGAATTTACCTAATTAATTATTTATTTTATATCACCTTGGAATGGGAAAATTCAAAAACTCGAAATTAATGCTTTTAGATTTGTGCGTCGACTTCCAATATGGTACGATATTAACACCTATGTTTAAAAAATTGCATTATACAGGTTGTGTATCCTTAGATGGGTACTGCTCTCTTATTGTTGATTTCTTTAGATAGGTAAAATAATCATTGACACAAGTGTTGCACATCATGGATGCCATTGGTAGTGCTCATATTTGTGACACAAGGTGTTCAAAAAAATTAACACAGTGTAAAATTACTGGAACCTCAAGGAGTAATTGAATACGAAATTTATTTAAAAAAAAACAACAAATCATCAATCAATACAGAGATTATAAGACCTTCTTCACTGTATCACCTCACACACCTCTTCTTTCCGAAATGTATTTTCCACATACGGACTTCGGACCTTTCCCATTCAACTTTTCGATACATTTTGCATTGAACGCAGAAGCAATAAACAGAACCCGGGTTGTGTTGAGATTTTTCACTCGTTCACCATGGGAGATTTTTTGATACTTACAGTCCAAGCGAATACTGTTTTTTTTTCTTTCATATATTGTGACACCCCGCTCTGCGTCACCCACCGAGTGCTCTACTCAGAACCAAGGGGAAATTTGTTTATATTTCCAGCCATTTCCGAGTTACGAGCAAAAACCGTTTTTTTTCCTTATACTGTGTGACATCATAGATCGATAACGACGCTCCCTCCCTAGGTGTAATGAAATTGCTGGGGAAACTTCTGAAGACAGCAGAGAAAGAGAGAAGCCCTCTATGAGGACAGAGTCACTCTATCTCTATCGCACGTTATAGCTCTATCTCTCTCTCTTCTGCTGACGAAAAATAAAACATAATTAACTGTATTATTCAAATAACAATAATGTGCAAAAGTTCTTCAGGAATATTGGCATTTTGGAAGAAGAATCCCGTCAGCAAACAGTAAAAAATATTATAAGAAACCTTAGGTGGACAGAAAACAGCCCCGATCTCAATGTCAGTCCTTTAGACATATATTTTTTAAAGACCTGAAAATTTACAAGTATTGAAAGAAAAATACAGGACGAAATGCTTGATAATTTTGAATTTGTTTTTGAAGCAATTAATTAATAGTAAATTAAAACATATTTTCAACTATATCATCACAATTACTTGCATGTTGATTTGTAAAAATTGTAGGCATTTTAATGTTATTTCGTTTTTAGGTATTCTCCTTATGTTGTTGTAAAGGTTAGTTATAAAAATCGTTGTTTGTTATTTTCATAAGGATGAATTTTAATTTTTTTAATGATTTTTTTTTTTTTTAAACATATATATTTTATGCCAGCAAATTTTGATGTCAAATGAAATAAAGGAAAAGTCGTACATTTGTATTTAAAGTTTCTTTCTATCTTTAATTATTAAACCTATAAGTGGATGTCAAAATACAAAAAAAAACCTGTACCTACATTCCGCGACGTACTAATAACCCACCTTGTATATTAAATAAATTTATCGTCATCATCAAATATTAAAAAAATTATATTACAAGCTGTTTAAAATATTATTACGAATTTTGTTTATTTGGAAATATATTTTCTGCAGTATTTCAATACCAAAAAATGAAAATAGTAGGTAGCTAATTAACGAAATTATGATTAAATAACTTAATTGTAACACCACTGCAGAATATCATATGATACATACATAGATATTCGTTGATTCTTTAAAAACATTTTTATCAATACCTACATCATACATTGAAGTAAATACAGTAACGCAAAAAACAGATATTGATAAAAAAGTGTACAAAAGAAATCCGTAAGTACGCCTGGCAACATTACCAAAGTCTTGTTTATATGTTGCTAGGATACGCGTAGGTATGCGGGCCGCTGCATTTGATTCTTCCTAAAATTCTGCTGGTGGTGTAGTCTACCGGCAATTCGGAAATTTAAAACTGCTGGCCTATTCCAGATTACAAGCCGTTATTGATTCGGATGGTGGCTGGACATATATTAAACTGTTTTGTTTTTTCATTGTTTATAAAATGATCTCAAAATAAGTAAATAAGTTCATAACATTATGGGCCCGGAAATGCTTCCTTTCTGCTAGATGTAAAATTATAAAAAATCCTGATTTTCTAAATATTGCGAAAATGATTTAAGATATTACACTGAGCTTTGGTGTATAGTACAGTGGCTGTGTAATAAGTATCTTAAATCGTTTTCGAGATATTTAGAAAAAAACGAATTTTAAATTTCTTTCGACATCTATCTCAGAAAGGAAACATTTCCGGACCTACAATATTATGAACTTATTTACTTATTTTTACTTCCAGAACACGTCCTTAAAATATTTCCCTTTCCTCCCGAAACTGTACAAGTTATAATAAAACTGTAGTTAACTTTATTTTGTTGCCTTCATGACCTACGTACCTACTTTCCGCAGAATATGACACAAATTCTTATTTTAAAATATTAATTTTCTCAGGGACAAGAAAAATAATGTGGCAAGACAAAATAATTTCAAAACCTGTATACTCTTCACTTTTCATAATGCATATACTCTAGGCCTGCAATTTTTTGTTAGGTATCGTTACACACGTGCCTACACAAAAAAAAAATATGACACGCCCCTAATTATTGATGCCTCCCAAAATAGTCCACCGGCTCGCCCCTTTAAAAGTAGTATGCCTTTTAGGTTGGAAACCTTTATCTTGCGTCGAGTGTACCTACTCATGTTTCTGTTACATAACTTTTTTTATGGGGATGTGTTGTCTTTCTCATGAAACTGAAGTGTAAGGTCACCCGAAAAAAAATATGAGTATATTTTCTTGAAAGCTATGGTATACATGTGCAAGCATAAGAATTTCAGAGATTTTAAAGCATTTTAGAGTTATTAAAATGAAAACAATATATTCTCAATCCTGACACTCTCTAGGGACTAAACCAAACAGCTTTAAATAGCCGTAAGTTTAGTTAAACTGTCTTGTTTTAACCACAAATATATGTAGAATTTCCGTATACACGGAATATTGGAACAACTTATGTATATGATTACTGAAACTAACTTCTTAATACTTAATTTAGTTTAACTTAGCTATTAATTTCATTCATAAATGTCTCGTATTGGGCAACCCATATCTTCTGATTTCAAAGCGTTTTTGAAATAATCTATTGTATATATTTGATGTAAATATACCTAAATAAATGTATCTTTTCTTATCTTTATAAGTGAGAATTGTTTACTATTCAAAACTTTTAATCAGCTTTGCATCAAAGACAAAACTATAAACATCATATTACTACCGTGTTTTGAATTTAATGTACTGTGATATTAAAACTCAAAGTAAAGCGCTGTTTTAGTGCAAAGTTGATTACTACTGAGTTCGACAGACCATTTTCAAAGTAAAATGGAGTAACGTATTATTTGCTTCTTTTATATTTCAGTCGAAGAGCATTTTCATTCAGAACATTCATCTGGAAAATCGGCTGATATCGGGAAATTCCTTGGTGTTCCCGGACATGGTAAAATAACTTTACAATAGGTCGTTTTTGTAGAATGTGGTATCTGCACATTATTGGCCAGATTGCATGAAACATTTTATATTAAGTTTCTGTTTGAGCACGAAATTACTTTGATTCCTTATTTACCAACCTTATATGCAGACTACAGACAGGTAAAACAAGGCATCGAGTTGTATCACAAAATTTCATTGCTCTTGGTTTTGATTGAAATATTGAATTGAAGCTTGATTCAAATAGGATTTTAATTCAATCATAATATTGTTTACCACGGCGCTGCATTTTATTGTTGTTTATAAAACCCATTTGGTTTTGTTAACGGAGTATATGTATATTAACTTCAATGTTTTCCTTTTTATAGTGCGTTCCTCTTTAAGCCTCTTCCTCTTATATCAGTTCTAGGCTACTACAGATTGAATTATTATAGCGTTCGTGGAAGATATCTGCCGTCATTCGTCAAATTTTCTACCATTATTTGTATCGTTGCCTACCTTAATGTAAGAGTACCTATACAAGAAACTACAGACATAGATATTCAATGAAGAGAAGAAAATTGTGAGCTATTAAGTATATGGATGATATCAATCAGACAGTCCTTTCAGAAGTTATACAGCGAGTTCAAGGTAGTTTTCTTGAATGAAAATAAACCGATTTAGATCAAGTTACTTTAATAAAATTCTGAATAAGTTAAAGGACATTGAAAAAACGTTATTATTTCACTTTCTTAAGAAAATTTCGTCGTTTTTTAATAACATGTCAATGAAACTTTTAATGATAACCTAAAGCCGAGGTCGTTAAGAATTCCTAAAACGGTTGTTTGTCATATTTTTTTTTTATCAGTAGAAAAAACGAGTATGTTTTATGAGACTTCACTTTTTTTTACTGTAAAAAATGTACATGAGTTGCATATAGGTAAAATGCATATTTAGGTTAGGTTTTGGGACATCCTGATCTAATTAAACTTGGCCTATTTGCTAAATTTATTAAAAAAAAAGTTAAGGACTAGGTATAACTTTTTAGAGAGCAAAATTGTACTATGGAAACTTGGTTATTTTCATCCAAAGAAACTGCCCTTGAAGTATCATCCTTGCGCTTTCGGACAACCTGTATATAGTATTTACACTAGATACAGGGTGTACGCGTTTTTGTAGCAGGACTTTCACAACTTGTACTAAAAGACTTTTAAAAAAAAGTTCATGTAAACATATACAGGGTGTCCCCAGTTCGAGTTGCCTATACCTGAAATGGATACAAAATTTCAATTGTCAAAAAAAATCATTTCTTCATAAAAATTTTTGCTTGTCCAGAAACCCTTGGCAATATAGTCATTTGTTCAATTTAATGTACAGGGTGTTCAAAAATTTGGAAAAGGTAAAAACAGTAAAGAGTAAAGTACCTTAAATCTAAACGCTGAAAAATGTGAAAAAGTAATGGGGAAAAGTTGCTTGGAATTAAATTTTATGTTTAAATATGAAAGCATAGCCTTATAGTTAATATTCGATATTCTGGGATATTCTAGGACTGTACTTATTTTCTAATACTTTCGGAGAAGCCACTCTATTTAAAAAATATTGCTTTATTGAAAAACAGATACACAATAATTTATTTCTTATACAGGGGGATCAAAATCCTCAAAACATTAATCCAACATTTATTTTGAGAACACAGCAGAATCAGTATGTACGCGCCATTACAAAACTATTCTACATGAATTCCACCGAGTTCAACACACCTCCAGTCTTTTTCTAAATGCAGCGTAGGTCGAATGTATCATTTCTTCATTTAATATAAAAAATAAATTAATATGATAACATGTGTATCTGTTTTTCAATAAGGCAATATTTTTTAAATAGAATGGCTTCTCCGAAAGTATTAAAAAATAATCTGAGTCCTAGAATATCCCAGAATGTCGAGTATTAACTAGAAGGCAATGCTTTCATATTTAAACAAAAAATTTAATTCCAAGCAACTTTTCCCCATTACTTTTTCACATAGCGTTAAGATTTAAGGTACTTTACTCTTCACTGTTTTTACCTTTTCCAAATTTTTGAACACCCTCTACATTAAATTGAACAAATGACTATCTTGCCAAGGGCTTATGGACAATCAAAAATTTTTATGTAGAATGATTTTTTTTGATAATTAAAATTTTGTATCAATTTCAGGTATAGGCAACCCGAACTGGGGACACTCTGTATGTATAGATGCATCGTTTTCGATTTACAGAGTGTTCAAGTTTAAAATGAGAATTGATTTTTTATTCGTAAAACGAAAACCCCATTTTAGACTTCGTTGAAACTTGGCAACTTTGTTTGTAATAATAATACTCATTTTCTCACATAATTTAATTTGCCCTATTTTCTCCAGTGGCGTCACAACAAGATACCAACTTGACAAAAATAGAAAAAAATATGGTACACCACTGCTTCTTGGTAAGTTTGAATTTTTTATCAGATTTAGTCATCAAAAATACAACTTTTTTGTTATTTAATTTTTTTCATATCTCGCTTCTTGTTTAGTCAGAAATAAAACAGTTTCATGAATAGGTTCGAGCTTAATTGATTTATTTACTTGTTACAAAGTGTGCCGTGAATATGTCTGTATTTGAGTTGCCAAGGATTTTTTGTTGGGACCTTACATCCTGCCCAATAGATTAAGCCGTCAATTATTTCTTGAATTTTTAACTACCCAGCATGATAACATGCTAGACGATGTTCCTTTTCAACAAAGAATAGACTCGTTTTTTCAATTAGATGGATGCCCTTCCCAGTACTCTTTGGTGGTACAAAACTGGCTGAATACAGAGTATCCACANTAGGTTAGGAGTTAACCAACGATTGAAAAACCGGCCCTAAGCCTGTTAACTCGCAAGAGGAACTTGTACGACGAATCCGGAACGCTGCTCTCAGAATAACTCCACATCATTTGAGAGACGTTAGGCGGTCTTTGATACGTCGCTGTAATTTGTGTGTAGAACGAAATGGCCCGCATTTCGAACAGCTCCTTTGAGGTCTATTTATACAATAAGTTGTTTTTCCATACCGTGTTGTTTATTTTAACAAAAAGTTTTATTTCTGTCTAAACAAAGCGAGATAGGAAAAAAGTAAATAACAAAAAAGTTGTATTCTTGATAGCTAAATCTGAGAAAAATGTTAAACTCACCAAAAAGCAGTAGCCTACCATATTTTTTTCTATTTTTATCAAGCTGGTATCTTGTTGTGATGCCACTGGAGAAAATAGGACAAATTAAATTATGTGAGAAAATGAGTATTATTATTACAAATAAAGTTGCCAAGTTTCAACAAAGTCTAAAAACTGTAAATCGAAAACGACGCATCTATACATATATGTTTACATGAACTTTTTATTTTTAAAGGACTTTTAGTACAAGTTGTGAAAGTCCTGCTACAAAAAACGCGGACACCCTGTATATAAATAATATGCGTTTTCCTGCTTTTGCTATCGATGATAACTTAAAACCTGCCATCTCGTTTTAATTCGTTAAATCTCGTTAAATAATTCTCTTGAATATGTGCATGCATATATAAAAATTTATTCGTTTTCCTTTACATTTTACCTTGTTTATGCATTGTCTATTATACATGTATTGCATTATCTTCAAAATATCTTGAAAAAGTATAGGTACATAAATTAAACTTTTTCTACCCAAATGTTTTCAAATACAATACATATTATTTCTGTATTAAGGCTCCAAAACCGTTGTTTCTATGTAAAACATGCTACCCCTGTAGTTCCCTTTTCTAGCCGACAATTGAAGGTACATTCTGATTTCTGGAAAAATTTAACAGAGACCCATTTGACAAGTAATGTAGATGTCAATTATTTATTGTTCTTGTTTTATTACAATTTTTTGTACTGAGCGAATTTTAGAATAATTGCTCTATTTTTTTGACAAAAGATTTGATTAGATCCATTGCACCGTTCCCTACTAGCAAAGAGTTTGCAATCATCACGATCCTTTTTATTAAAAAAATAATAATAAATTTAGGCACAGGGTGTAATTTAAAAGGAGGAGGCAATGAAAACAAACTTAGATTGTTTTCGCGTTGATTGTTTTTTGTGTTAATGAATACGTGTTACAAACTTATAGGAAATGCAGGAGATTATAAAAATTAACCAATATTGATTAAGACACTGTTTTCGAGTTATGACAACTTGGAAGTGGTGCTGAAAAAACACTGCACCTGAATTTTGGTACGCTATTTAAAATATGCCAGATGTCCTTCGGTTTTCTTGCACTGTAGCTATATTACGCGCCAACAAACCTTTTTCAGCTTGTAAACCAGACTCTTCATATGGTCCCATAAAAAAAATCTATGGGAGTTCGGTTGAAGAAACCTAGCGGCCATGCTATTAGCCCCTTTTGTCCAACCTATCTGCCACCGAATTTTTGGTTGATGTAGTCTCGGGACTAGTCAAGCGGGGCATAGGTAATTACCAACAAAAACGAAGATAATCACAAAAAAATTCTTCGTATTACTGAGTTGTATTACTGATAAAAAATATTACTTTTAAAATTTAGAGAAATATTTAGTTCATGCCATAATGTCCTGTGAGCAGTGTTGTTCCAGCTATTACAATTGTACTAGATCTATTACATTTGAGAAAATTCTATTACCCTATTACTAAGTTGTCAAAATCTATTACACTATTAGGCTTTTTTTCGCGATTGAATATTGGTGAATATCTGACTTGCAGTTACTATTTCTATCTCTTTTGATCTTAGTTGTCACAAGGACTTCACTTGCAAAAAAGCCTATTGAATTTTTTGCTCGACAGTGAGGAAATTCTGGAGATGAAAAACCATAGAATATTTATAAATTGATTTCAACCAAAGAAAACAAAAATACAAATAGTTCCCTTGAAGAAACAAGAACACTAAAATAAAATATAATTATAAAAAACGAAACTTTACTCAATAAAAACAAACTTGTTAAAAAATAAAATGATATAGGTTAAATCACAGAGTAAACTAAATAGACCAAGCAAATTAAATTTTTACTCGAAAAAAGTCCTATCCGCTAGATTATTGTAAAATTGTCTAAAGGAACATAATACAAGACATCTCTCGTCTCGTGAGTCAAAAACTTTTATTAGCTAACTTTTCTATTTAAACAAATAAGTGAGGAAAACAGTTTTTTCACTTTGCAGGGAAAACCATCAATTNTCCATCTATTACGATTTTCTATAGATTCTACTACAAATTATTTAAGCTCTGTAACAACACTGCCTGTGAGAGAACTGACACTGTACGTAACTGATACATATCTAATGACAACAGTTCTTCGTCACTCTTCTTCCTTGATGGCTTTTTGATGAAACTTTTTCCACTGTGAATCAGGGTCAATATGAGGAGTTGTGAAAGTTATTTTAGTTAATTCGTCACCTATTATGATCCAACAGAAGTTTCAGTTTTTCCAAACATACCTACATTCCCATACCAATTTAGACATGGTCTTCGGATATGTCAATATCTTAGAGATTGGTTGTATATTTTGAATTTTCTTCTAAATTTTAGTATTTTTCGGAAAGTCAAATAGGTATTCAGGCCAAAATTGTACAGCAAAAACCATGTATTGACCTGCCAAAATTTGTTGCGCAGTTTTTTTATATGTAACGATGATTAAAATCAAGTTTCACTTGTATCAAAATGGCATAGTGGCCTATAAATGAAATATTTCTCTTCATTTACAATATACCTTTAACCTACTCTGCATGTACATGTAAAAAATTGTCTGCTTTCCTTGGAAACGCTTCGTTATCCTCCTATAAAAATGTAAATATTTATATTAAACTGTATTATCCAGGTACCGAAAAGCCTCAAGCATTAATGAAGAGTGCCAGCACTGTATCGATCAATCGAAACACAAGTGCTACAGACCTAAACGATATACATCATAATTTGGCGTTTATGAGAAAAATACCTTCGGGGGCAGAAGCAAGCAACATACTGGTGGGAGAAGTTGACTTCCTAGATAAAACCCTTTCGGCTTTCATAAGGCTCAACTCCGCTGTCATACTTGGAGACCTAACGGAAGTTCCTGTTCCTACCCGGTTTCTGTTTGTTCTGCTTGGACCGCCTACAGGAACAGCAGGTAATTAATAATAGCTTTATTCGTAGAGCAATCCAACAGTCAGAGGCTTGCGTATTCCTATAAAAGGTTCAAAATCCATTGTTTTTAATCAAATACGATTACGTCTGACCGTTGGAAACTGTTGTTTAGATAATAGATCAATTCAAAAGTGTGTAAAACTATAATTTCGTTTGCAGCAGCGACTAAGCAAAAAATGCAGAAAAAGCAGTTAGAAAAATAATTTGACAAATTTTTAAAATTAGAATTAAGTCAAACATTTAGAATTATTTATAAAATTACAATAGCTCAGTGACAAGTAGTTTGAAACAAATGAAAATATTATTATCGTCATGGAAATTCAGACTACTAATGGAACATTACTTCGTAAACACGTGGCCATTGCCATTACTATCATTTTTTTTTCAACGGAATGACATTAATGATAAACTTCTACAAAAATTTCTATTCTACAATAGTTTCGAAGAATAATGCAGTATTGCCAGATTTATTAAAAATATTAAAATATTGATTGTTGAGATTGTTTTTGAAATTTTTTCTTACATATATCAATGAAAAGCCAAAAAATGCTGTATTCTCTCAGCATAAAATTCAATATGGCGTCCATCAAAGAAAGTTGATTATGCTTTCTCGCAACTGAAACGTCGCAGTAAAAATCTATAGTGAATATAGTGAAATTCCTCGAAAAAATTTGCTATGAAAAAGTGTTTTCAAATTTTAAAAATTTCTCGAATTAAAAAAGTTACAGACGTTTTTCCAAAATAACTCTAAAACAAGAGCTAGGACCGGTCTGCAAGCACCATTAAGTTAACAGAACTGTCTGAAACTTTGCCCATTTAACCATTCTGGATGAAATAGAATGTTGAAATATAAATCCACTTTTTTATTATACACAAGGTGTTTAGTAATGAATGGACCATAGCTTTTAGCTTACTTGGATTATTCGGCTTACCTTAGAACAAAAGTTGATAATAACAAAGAGTTTTAGTTTTTTAAATTACTTTATTTTAAAGAATTTCCAAACTTGATGTAAAATTTACTAATTGCGGGTATTTTAGGAAAAAATTAAAATATGTCTACAATGTCCATTTTGTTTAGTAGTTTATTGTAACGACCATTTATGGTACTTCATACGTCTTTATAACGTTTCGTAATTTGTAAAATAAAATACTTATTTCTCTACGTTTTTACTCAAAAAAGGTATATTGTTAATAGCGCTACCAATAACCGCTTCCGAGAAGTTAATGTTGCATATAATACACATTTGATGACATTTATATACATTTAATAATATTTTTACTGAAAATGTATTTACCGAACAAATAAAATATGAGAACGTCAAACAATGAATTAACGAAAAATAGATTACAATTAAAAAGATCATATAAATGCTGTACTTATTTTCAAGTAGATGTTCGAAATGTCTACCGTTTACAATGACATATTTTCAGCATCTTTCTTCTATTTCTTATATTTATAAAATATATTAAGTGAAGGTTATTTTTAGTAGTTATTGATAAATGAGGTTATCTTTGACAAAGGATTGTGCATGGCAACAGTTAAAACTATAGAAACCGACACGTTTTTCCACTTATAGAAGTAAATTTTATCGAAATTGTGGCTTTTTCACGTACTTGGTTTATATTATTTCATTACTTAGTATTCTTATCTTTTGTTTATATAAAAAATATTTATTTTTATATATAATTCTATATGTATATGTGACATACGTTACATTCTCGGCATTTATAAAGGTTGTCCCAAAATTCAGGCAAGAAGTAATTTTGATAGAAAACACAGGTTTTTAATTAACAATTGCATTTTGTTTTATTTCGTTGATACAGCGCTCAATTTCCTCCTTCATAGCATGAGTGATCGTGGGCTTGTTGGCATACACCTTAAACTTCAAAGAAAACCCATAGAAAATAGTCCAACGGCGTTATATCACATGATCTGGGCGGCCAATTCTGATCACCAAAACGGGAAATTACACGACCAGAAAATGACTAATGCAGTAATTGAATTGTTTCTCGGACTATATGACATGTGGCACCGTCTTGTTGAAACCACATGTAGTCTACATCCAATTTAGACAAAAAAAAGTGGATTATCTTATCGCGATAGCGAGCACTATTAAATGTTATTGCTTGACCAACCGAAGAAGATTGGTCAAAATCCGCACCAAACAATGGCATGTTGTGGATACATAAGTTTCTCAACAATCATTCGTGGATTTTCAGAACCTCAAATGCGATAATTTTGTCGATTAGCGAAGCCATCAAAATGAAAATGAGCCTCATCGTTGAAGATGATTTTCTTCCAAAAATCAGCATCCACTTGTTATTGTTCCATAATGAGCATTTTTATTCGTTGTCAATACTTTACCGCACAAATAGCGCAAAATTCAAATCTTGCGTGAATTTTGGGACACTCGATATAAGTATTGTTGAAACTGTTCCTGTAACTGAGTGCAAATTCGTTGAATATTTTGTTTTATATAAATAAATTTAGTAGAAATTTTAATTAATTAGGTATTTATTATATGCAGCACGAACCTCAAACACATTTTTGTGTCATAGAGGCATTAATTTTTTTATAAAAAAAAAAGCAAATGAAGAAATATTTCTGTTAATAAGTTATATTAACAGTGAAGAACGAGAAACTTAGAGCGTTATAACGACGTTCCAAGTACCATAAATGCATTCCTATACACTCTACATGAAAATTTAAACGAATTTGAATATCTTTCCAAAATACCTCATATTAATATACGCCGGGCCAAAAATTGTTTAAGAAAATTAAAAATAAAATTAGTCATGATCAACTATTCTATCAAGGAATGATAAGCCGAATCAATTTTGATCCAAGTAAGACACTATTAAATTATTGCCTATTAATTACTAGATACCCTGTAGAAATTTGGTATGCAATATTTGAGGAAGTTGAGTAACTTGAGCAAGTTTAAAGAGTTAATAAGTTTAAAATTCAGAGCAATTTTGTTTTTACATAGGATATTTTATTAGAATTAATAAAATCATATATTTTCTGAGAAAAATGTATTAAACCAGCCAACCAGATTTGTGGTAGTCTCCGTTTTCTTCTTTATTTTTTGGCTATTTTGCCACCTGTGAAAAAATTAGTTAAATAAACTTTTTATAAAAATAACTTTGCCTAACCATACTCATACTGAAAAGAGCAGACAAATAATAAATACTAAAAACATATAACTTTATAAAGCGCCTTTAAAAAGTTGTTAACGTTTCAAAAATCTATTGGTTTTGTATTCTGGGAATTTGGGAAATATAATCAATTTTTTTATGATTAATTTTTTTAGGGGCAGTGTACTTTTAGTTTCCAACCAGTACTTCGTTTGTCTCAATTGGTTCAATCATTCCCAAATAATTAATTAACAAAAGTCTTTTCATCCCAATCTCTGCACGAGTGATTTTGTACAAAGATAATACCCAAAATTATTGTTTATATTACTGCTTCGCCGTATATTTTAACACACTTAATTTTGATTAGGTTACCATGAAATCGGCCGAGCCATGGCTACCCTTATGTCCGATGAGGTATTCCATGAAGTAGCCTATCGCGCTAGGAACCGAAGTCATTTATTAGCTGGCGTAGATGAATTCCTGGACGCCGTTACCGTGCTTCCACCTGGCGAGTGGGATCCCGCCATAAGAATTGAACCTCCAGCGGCAGTCCCTTCACAAGATCTGAGAAAGCGACCTCCAGAGAAACCTGTCGAGGAGATGGATGAAGAAGAAGAGGAACAGAAGATAAGGGAGGAGACTGGTCTAGCTAGAACCGGGGTACTATTCGGCGGTCTGATGAATGATATCAAAAGGAAGGTGCCATGGTATTGGTCCGACTTTAAGGATGCCTTGGCAATGCAGTGTATTGCTTCCTGGATATTTTTATACTTTGCTTGCCTCTCTCCCATTATTACCTTTGGAGGATTGCTTGCAGAGGCTACAGGTAGGAATATGGCTGCAATGGAGTCTCTAGTGTCTGGTTTTATCTGTGGTATGGGTTATGGATTCTTTTCCGGTCAGCCTCTTACCGTTTTGGGGTCGACTGGGCCTGTTTTAGTATTTGAAACTATTGTATTCGATTTTTGCGGTACTATGGGTTGGGATTATCTCTCGTTTAGATTCTGGATTGGTACATGGATCGCTGTGATCTTACTTCTACTAGTAGCCATTGACGCAAGCGCCCTAGTTTGTTACATTACCAGGTTTACAGAAGAAAATTTTGCTACTTTAATTGCGTTTATATTCATTTACAAGGTCAGTAGACACTCGCATACTACATACATTTAACTGAATATAATGGGGATTTTTTTTTCACAGGCCGTAGAAAATGTATTGGCTATAGGGAAAAAATATCCTATTAACACCACTGGCTCTACCAACCTTAGTTATAATTGCTCATGCTTCGTAAATGAATCAATGGCAACTCAATATCCAGAAATAGCCAACACGACATCTGTGAACCAAACCCTGTGTTCGGTAAGTTATTGTAAAACGACTTCTTACATCTTAAAGGAGACTTATGGTAACTTGATAGAATATTGATCTCATTGTATACTGTCAAATTTACTCATAGAAAAATGAAGACTTAAAAAAGGGATATGACATGACCATTAGATCTTGATTTACTTGTAAATTAATTAAATGAATCATAAATTACTTTTTATCTTTTAGTTATAATAATTATAAACTTGGATGAATATATTTATCCTTTTTCATGTCCTCTAATATGTTGAATAGCTTCACTTTCAATGTAATTCTTTTATAAATGAAAATTCTCCTTGAATGCATAGTGAATAATTCAGTAGAACTGCATATCAGTTTCTCTGAAATCGGCAATCGATATACCTAATATATACTGTGAAAACCATGAAGAGAGAATCGCTAAATATCTGATATAGTTTATTTAATTTGCATGCGCGGTTCCTTGCTACTCGATCGGTGATTGTAAATCACAAATGTTTATAAAACAAAGTATGAGTTCATCGATGGGTAGCATAGGAGCGGGCATTGACTAATAAGCAGTGGTTGTATTCAGGTCGAAAATATTAAAGTTATTTTAATCAGTTTTACCTAAATCTTTAATTTTAAAAGTAAACCAAATATTAGTTTTTAACAATACGTATTCTTTTTCATGTTCTTTGATAAATCTATTATGCAACTGCACGAGTCAAGGACAATTTGTGCCTACTAAGATTACAGTTAATTTCTAATTACCGCCCTCTTGTAACTGGATATACGCTAATTGTCCTATCAAAAGATTGTAGCTAATTTGCACATTAATCTATTACTTGCTTCCCATTTTCAACAGAAAACCATTCATCTAATTTTCAGTAAAATTTTCCTATGCATATGTTTCTTAAATAGTTTAAAATATTAAAAGGGATTGTACTTTGGGCCATTTTAGCAAGAAATCTTTGTATACAAACAATGTTGTAAAATGTTTCGTTTAATTTAATTTAATTTCTCAAAATATTACAGTTAATAATAATTCCTAAATGGATTCATTTCTCTTTCTTAAATTTGTGTCAATTGTCTCATGGAGAGAAATTTTTTAGACGAAACTGAAATCGATTATTGAAATTTTATTTGAACTGCCCCCCGTGTTTTTCATTGCCCAATTGGTTATTTGAACATTCTAAAGGAATAGGATAATCTAAAGATAAAATTTATATATCTTCTGTTCTTTTACAATAACATGAAGAAGAGAAAAGCCTTACTAAAATAAAAGAAACAGAACAATTAATTACGCAGGCACACAAGAAAAGAAAAGGGGTTTGTTCCAAAGATTAAACCTACAGGTATGTATGTTTATGTATTTTGACGCGCCGAATCCGAATATGGGGCCAAAATTGCTCCATCATCCTCCATTTTTTTAAATCGCGAGAACTACCCATTAGGTATAATTGTAGAAACTGACTGAAAATGACTACAGAGCCATATCTATACAGGGTGTTAATGAACTTATGTCAAATATTTTTGCCACATGTCCGTTATGTCAAAATAAGATAAATACACAGATTTGTGTTAAGTAAAATGTAATTTTAAAATCTGACTTACCTCAACATTGCAAGGAGCCACCTTTTGAGTAATGCTGATTTTCATAGAAGATGTTCGATATACCCACCATTTGCTTGCACACAAGCTTCATCGCGACGTATCCAATTCACTCGCACGCGTTGCAACATTGCCACGTCCTCTCGAATCGTACAAGCTTAGGCAATACCATGTCGCAGTTGGTCGATGTCACGAACTTCCGTGGAATACAGAACACTTTTCACATATCCCTACAAAAAGAAGTCTATAGGGGTGAGGTCTGTGAACCAGGGAGGGTGCATCTAACTAGGCTGCCGCGGCCTATCCAGGCATCGGGAAAAGTAATGTTTAGAAAGTCGCGCACTCTCCGAAAAATGTGAGCGGGGGCTCCATCATGCAGTAACCACATATTTTGCCGAACAGTTAATGGCACGTCTTCCAATAACTCCGGCAAGCGATTTTGCAAAAAATCTAGATATGAAGTACCGTCTAAGCGTCTAGGCAATTTAAAAGGTCCTATTAAAGTGTCATTAACAATACCGGCCCACATGTTCACTGAAAACTGTTGCTGAAAGACACCGCGACGTATTTCGTGTGGATTTTCGATAGTCCAGTGGTGAGTGTTGTGGACGTTACGTACACCATTTCGACTGAAACATGCTTCATCTGTAACAAGTATTTGCAGTGTAAATTGAGGATTTATTGCATGTTCCTGAAGCAACCATTCGCAAAAACCTCGACGTAGTGGAAAATCTTCAGGAGTAAGGGCGTGAAGACGTTGAATATGTAATGAGTACAACTGAGCTTCTCGTAATGTCCGCCATACAACAGAATGCGAAATATTTACTTGTTATACGATATTTCTGGTGCTACGATGCGGATCTTCTTCGACGAGATCTAAAATCATCTCCTCGACATTTTAGATTCTTAGTGGTGGCCCTAGGTCACTGACGCGACCTCGACGTGGTTGTACTTCATCGATGTCCAAAACTCTTTGCGCTACAGCAACAAACGTTCGCGATGCGGGAGCACGTCGTTCAGATATCATTCGATGTCTTGCAGGATACACTTAACAAGCTCTGTGGGCAATTTCGTTTGCTTCGCCATAAATTATGAGCATATCATAATATTCGCGATTGCTAATAGGCCAGTCATTATAGCTTTTTTTTTCGGGAAAAAAATACTATTAGAAGTTTCTCTGCGGAATATTGTTCAGAAACGTGTTATAAACAAAATATCAAAAAATCAACTCGAGACTAGTTGGGAAACTTTGTTAAAACAATGGTAATTATGGTAAAGTGGTTTTTTGACTCGCGTAAAAAAGTGTTATTCATAGAGAAAAAAGGTTTATACAAAAAAGGTAGGTATTAAATAAACCTGTAAAATAAGACAAGTCCGATTAAATTCCGATAATTTGTTTATGCGCAAGAGCTCAAAAATGGTCGAAATTGTTCGCTTTTTCAATTGCTAATAATTTATCCAATTTTCATCGCAGACACTTTAAATTCAGGAATTTTGAGGCTTTTTGCACCCTTAATAAGTAGTAAAATTTTCAGCCCAAAAGCTTCATTAGCTTGGCGTTGGCGGAATTTATTATCTAAGAAGATGCTATTTTCAATTCATTTTTCCCAAGCTCACAGGCGTTGTAGGGTTTCGATCATTAGTTGTTTTTGTACCTAAATAGTTGTATCGACATATGCATTTACTGATAATTTAATTTTTCAAATTTAATTTGTTTAAAAATGACTGAAAAAATGTTAATATTTATTAAATTGTTAAGCGCGCATGCTCCGCCTCGCTCTCCCCACTCGTTCGCTAGACCAAGTAATAGAACGCATTGCCGCTATCTTCTTTTTCGCAATTAAATAGTTGAATTCACCTTAATGTTAATGTAGGACATGAAAATATAGCTCTTAATATATACTCTCTCCAAATTTCGGCTCTTAATATTAATAATTAAGGTCACTGCGATTAAATAAAAAAAATTATCTCAGCTTCTAATCAACTTACAACAACGATTTTTTTTAAATTCGAAGAAAACTAAAGTATAGAGGTTACTATTTTATTTTATAATAATTACCTGTCTTAACAATTTTATAAATATTAACATTTTTTCAGTCATTTTTAAACAAATTAAATTTGAAAAACCAAATTCTCAGTAAATGCATATGTCAATACAACTATTTAGGTACAAAAACAACTAATGATCGAAACCCTACAACGCCTGTGAGCTTGGGAAAAATGAATTGAAAATAGCATCTTCTTAGATAACAAATTCCGCCAACGCCAAACCAATGGAGCTTTCGGGCTGAAAATTTTACTACTTATTAAGGGTGCAAAAAGCCTCAATAATCCTGAATTATAAGTGTCTGTGATGAAAATTGCATTAATTATTAGCAATTGAAAAAAACGGCAATTTTCGACCATTTTTGAGCTCTTGTACATAAACAAATTATCGAAATTTAATCGGACTTTTCTCATTTTATAGGCTTATTCAATACCTACCTTTTTTGTATAAACTTTTTTTCGCTATGAATAATAGTTTTTTTACGTGATTCAAAAAACCACTTTTCCATAACTTTGACCACTGTTAAAGCAAAGTTTCCCAACTAGCCTCGAGTTGATTTTTTGATATTTTATTTATAACAAATTTCAGAACAATATTCAGCAGAGAAACTTCTAATAGTATTTTTTTCCCGAAACAGGCTCTTTCATGTCTATAATGACTGGGCTATAAATAAATGCGCTATTTTCAAAAGAAAACTTAGAAATACGGCTGTTAAATGTACTCTCGAGAAACAGCACAGCAATCACCACAACAATGTATTACAATCTGACTTTCGAATACAGTCCGGCTTCATAAGATACCTACAAACTCGTAAAAAGTGTTACAGAATTTTTTATGAGTACTCGCCGCTATAACATGTATTTCGGTAGTTTCAAAACAGTTTTAAACACATTTTTTAATTAACTTTTTTCTCTATGACCTTAAACTTCCGATACAAGTTTGTGACATCAGTTAACTCAGTTTTTGCTCATTTTTCACCCCTTTAAATTTTTGACATAAGTTCATTAACACCCTGTATGTATTGATGCACCAAATCCGAATCCAAATTCAAAATTGCTCCATCACCCTCAATTTTTTTTGATCGCCGAAAAAACACCCTTAAATACGGAAAATCTCACTCTAGGGAGGTATAGCATTAGGAACACTTGTAAAAAGAGAATGAAAGGAGGACTAGGAGGACGGAGGATCTCCCTCCGTTTTCTTTAAATCGTGAAAATGCGCCCTTAAATACAGTAAACATGAAAAATTCTATTATTCAAAACTAGAGGTCATCTTTCAGCCCTGTTTCTATCTAAGGGATAGTAGAGACAGAAGAATAACTATGAACAGAGAATATAGCCAAAAAGAAAAGATTTCCATCGAGGGTTGCAATCATCATCCCTTAGTTGATTCTTCAAATATTCTACTTCCAGATCTCCATATCAAACTTGGACTCATGAAAAAGTCCGTTAAAACTGTGGACAAAGATGGCGACTGTTTTGGATATTTAAAAGAGAAGTTTCCAAAAATAAGTGATGGTAAAAAGGAAAAAGGTATTTTCGATGGTCCTCAAATCCGTACCGCGTTTAGAGACGAAAAATTTATCACAAAAATGAATGATACTGAAAGAGCAGCATTGCTAAATTTCGAGAAAGTTGCTCAGAATATCTTGGGGAATCAGAGGAGTGAGTATTACCAGAATTTAATTGAGGAATTGTTGAAAAACTTTAAACAGTTGGGTTGTCTAACGAACTTAAAATTGCATTTACTGCGATGTTAATATGATGGCAGATTTCTATTAGATGCTTAAAAGAGAAAACGAGCCAAAATCATAGAAAAAAAAGAAATAAGTTAAATAGATTGTTTGAAAAAACATTATTTAATTATTTCTTATCTGGTAACGATGTTCACATCCTCGAATTCCCTCATCTCTCTGCAGACATCAAATGGCTGAAGTTTTGGCTGTCTCGGGAAAGGAATTTCACGAATTTTAGAGAATTTTTAGAGTTATTTTCCTCTGTATAAAAATACTGGATTGTGATTCCGACTTCAAATTCAGCTTCAGCACGTCAAAATATAGATTTGGTCCAGTAGTAACTTCCATTCTCTTTTTACAATTGTTCCTAATGCTATACCTCCCTAGCAGGCCCGGATTTAGGGGGGAGGCTACGGGTCTATAGTGTTTAGGTTTCAAAATTTTATATCGATAAGTCACTGATTGCGTGGATCTTTTTTTGAGTAAAACCAAAAAATGTTTAGATTTTTGAAATCGTTGATTGTGTGACTTTTTTTAGAATCAAACCCAAAAGTGTTTTAAGGGTGGTTTTCAGTAATTTAAAAAAAAAAATTGGAGGGCGATGGAACAATTTTGAATTTGGAATCAGATTTAGCGCATCAAAATACATATAAATATATTATAATATATTCAGTCTGTTTATACAATAATACCAAATGCTGACCCCTGCCAAATCAAGATTCTCCGTGTTTTCGGTATTTAAGGGCGGTTTTTCGCGATTTTAAAAAAATGAAGGATGATGAAACAAATTTGGCCCCGAATTCGAATTCAACTCATGAAAATATATAATGATACTTAGGTCCAGTCTTTAGAACAGACCTCTTTTCTTTTTTTGTGTGTCTGTGTTCTATGTAAGTAGATTGTTGCAATAAGACAGCTGATTATATCTAATTTATACATATTATGTTAACAGTAACATTTTCATGGTTTAATATAGCATTTATTTTCAGCAACTAAATGGAGTGTTGTCACCTGGATGCAACACACCTTCTTATGCTCCGGATGTATTCCTCATGTCAATTTTATTGTTTTTGGGAACATTCTTACTTTCGGTAAATTTGAAGGATTTCAAAAATGCACTGTTTTTCCCCTCAAAGGTAAAGATTATCTTAAGCTATCGACAATTAGAAAGATCAGTACCTTAGCACACATATTCAACACGACTTTTTAATTTTTTAGGTTCGTCAATTCATTAGTGACTTTGCGGTCATCATAGCAATAATATCCATGACGCTCTTAGATTTTAAAGTGGGTATAGCTACACCAAAACTAGAAGTACCTCACGAGTTTAAACCAACGTTGCCTGACAGGGGCTGGCTTATACCACCATTCAAGCACAACCCATTTTATTCAGTATTCGTAGCAATACCACCAGCACTCTTGGGAACCATTCTGATATTTATGGACCAGCAAATTACTAGTGTTATTATAAATAGAAAGGAGTACAAATTAAAGAAAGGTGAGTTTACTAATATTGATATTGAATGCATGCTACTGAAACTATACAGGGTGTTTGGTAAGTCGATGCATTCCTCGCAGGAGGTTATAGGCCGGTCAAAATCGATAATAAATTCGCAAAACATGATGTATCTCTGATTTTTTAATATGTTGTTTGGACCCATTAGGGCTATATATAGCCAAGTTTGCAACTCTCAAAAAGTTGTGGAAAAATTTTTACACATCAAAAACCGCGAAATTTTTGGACTTGTTTCAGATTCTGCTCTATATCTCCTAATCCATGCATTTTTCTTCGAAAGCTATTCTATACGTATTTTAAGAGCATCAAATTTGTGATAAAATAAGCCTAACCGAAGCTTTGTAGGTCTATTGGTTACCGAATTACGACACTTTGAAAATAGGCCAGTTTTCCAAAAATTGAAAATTTTAGTTTTAGACCTTCTTTGGATCGAAATTGCGTCGAAACCATTGATCCTACGAGTAGAACTTGTAGAATATAATTTGTAGGCAATTTCATTACCTTTAAATTAAGCGCAATGCGGGGTCTGCAGGCCTCGTAGTTCTCTAAAAATAGCAAAAAACCCATATAAGGTAAAATCACATTTTTCCAGAAATGTTCCATAACCTTTCCTATCTTGTGTTTTTTGGTTTGATAATGAAAAAGAAGGCATGAAATCATTTTAAAAAACGGTGAAATATATTTTGATATAAACATAAGTAATCAAAAGTACAGTAACTTAATCAATCAATCAATCAATCAAATTAGACACATAGTCAAATTCGTCGCCTTGTTTTTGAAAGTACTGGGCCGTCACTTTCGTTGTTCTCTTCAATAGTTATGTCTTCCACTATTGGTGGGTCGCCGTCTTCGTCCCCTATAGGTAGATACTCCAGTATTGGTGGATCGTCGGGGTTGTTTTGAAGCTCGTCATCGTCATCCTCTTCAATGATAGTAAGGGCAGCGTACTGGCACGTTTCCCCAGAGCAGGTAGCACACATCACAGAACATCTGAGCCCTGCTTTGAGGCAAGTACAGCCACCTCTGCACCCCTTCTTGCATTTGCAAGAAAGGAGTTTTAGGAGCTCTGCGGGGGCAGGAGCTTGCCGACTAGTAATGGGGATGAGTCCAGCCGAGGTCAATTCCCAACCCCAGTCGGTGGCCTCTTTCTCCACCCCCAACCACTTTTGCACCTGGTGGTATGTGCGGAAGTGGTCATACGACGCAGCCTCTGTAATGGGGGGAAAAAGGGCCAGATTCGCTTTGGCGTTGGCTGCTGTCTTCACAAAAGTACGGAAGCGTACATCGTTGAGGGTGTCTTTTGTTTTGTCTGCTCCAACTAGGCACTTGTCACCGGCTGCTGCGACTTGTTGGTGTGTGGCATCTGTCTGGAGAAAAACTCTTGCTTGGTCCACTAGGGCTTGATTTTGTCTGAAGTAAACCAAATTTTTATCTTCCCCTGCCAGCAGAGGGCAGAGGTGGTGTCGCACCCAGTAAATGCGTGGATGAAAAGTTCAAATCCAGGTGGAAGCTCCACTTCCCATTGGTTGAATGAGATGGTGGAGAATTAGACGCAACCCGCCTCACATCTGCCACTCTTCTGGAAGTATACGTTTGTGCGACGAATTTGACTATGTGTCTAATTTGATTGACTGAAGTTACTGTACTTTTGATTACTTATGTTTATATAAAATACATTTCACCGTTTTTTTAAATGATTTCATGCCTTCTTTTTCATTACCAAACCAAAAAAACAAAAGATAGGAAAGGTTATGGAACATTTCTGGAAAAATGTGATTTTACTTTATATGGTTTTTTGCGATTTTGAGAAAACTACGAGGCTTACAGACCCCGCTATGCGCTTAATTTAAAGGCAATGAAATTGCCTACAAATTATATTCTACAAGTTCTACACGTAATTCGGTAACCAATTGACCTACAGAGCTCCGGTTAGGCTTTATTTATTACAAATTTGATGCTCTTAAAATACGTATAGAATAGCTTTCGACGAAAAATGCATGGATTAGGAGATATAGAGCAGAATCTGAAACAAGTCCAAAAATTTCGCGGTTTTTGGCGTGTAAAAATTTTTCCACAACTTTTTGAGAGTTGCAAACTTGGGTATACATAGCCCTAATGGGCCCAAACAACATACTAAAAAATCAGAGATACATCATGTTTTGCGAATTTAGCGATTTTTTGTGTCGATTTTGACCGGCCTATTATACTACAAGTGATTTGTGATATATTTCCTTAATATTCCGAAACCGCTTAGTTTCCGATCTACAGGGTGTTAAAGTTTAATAAAAAAATGCAAATTTAAAAATATTGCGGAAACCGCTCAAAATATTTTAATGAAATTTTACAGGCTTTGACAGTTAACAACAATACATGTTTCACGATAAAAATATTGTTTTCAGTTTCACCACTGGCGTGCGCACAGGCACATCTCTGGATATTTTTAAAGAAAAAAATGATACGCCACTGATTTTTCTTAAAATAAAAATTATTTTTAATTCTTTGTTCAATTTGGAAGAGAAAAGGTATCTTGTCTGTTTTTCTTATGCCGCACCGTTATCGAGTAAAAAAATTAAAATCGATTTATTGCATGGCGTAATCCGGTTTCAATAATTTAAAAAATAGCAGAAATTATGCATTTTAGTTTTTTTGTACCTACCAACTTTATTACAACACGTATTATTAAAGTGACAGCTATTATTAATTTTGTCAAACAGTAACAAAAACGAGTGCAAATTTCTGTTGAAGATAGTGAATAGTGAATCTAAAAACTGATAAATTTTTTTAGACTGATGTGGTTAACTGTGGGGAGTAATAAATTTTTGTAATAAAATTGGTACAAAAAAAACTGAGCGCATAATTTCTGCTATTTTTCAAATTATTGAAACCGGATTACGCCATGCAATAAATCGATTTTAATTTATTTACTCAAAAACGTTGAGTCATAAGAAAAACAGACGAGATACCTTTTCTCATCCAAATTGAACAAGGAATTCGAAAATGATTTTTATTTTAAGAAAATCAGTGGCGTAGCATTTTTTTCTTTAAAAATATCCAGAGACGTGCCTGTCCGCACGTCACTGGTGAAACTGAAAACAATAATTTTCTCTTAAAACGTGTATTGTTGTTAACTGTTAAAGCCTGTCAAATTTCATTAAAATATTCTGGGCGGTTTTCGCAATATTTTTAAATTTTCATTTTTTTATTAAAACTTTAACACCCTGTAGATCGGAAACTAAGCGTTTTCGGAATATGGTATATTAAGGAAATATATCACAAATCACTTGTAATATAACCTCCTGCGAGGAATGCATCGACTTATCAAACACCCTGTAAAATAATATAACGTGAAATAACTCGCTTAGACTATTTTCTTCGTCAATAATCCTCCCGTCTATTATCCACTAATCCGGCGGCAAAGCAAATTTTTTGATAAGAAATTAAATAAATAGACATTTAATAGCATTTTAGTTTGGTATTTAGCAATTCATTGTGATCAAATTTCTAGATTATAAATTCAGATAACTAGCCCTTTGGCTACTGTGAGAGTTATAATTTTTCAATCGTCATTCGCTATAAATTTCTGGAATCTTTTGTATTTATTATAAACGACAATTTCTATTTAAAAAGGTGTTGAAAAGACATACATACTAGGAGGTACGAGAATAACTGACGGTGAAAATATATACATAATAAGTTACATTTAAATAATAAATAATGAAAATCAAAAGGTCTAATTAATTTATCCAGGTAAAAACGATCCTCATATATTCCAAGTAATAATTAGTTAGTAGTTAGTAATATTTAGTTAATTTTCCCTACTATATACTTCTTATAGATTAGAATGAGTGACAAGCAATCATTTATGAGGTGTGTGAGAAATAATTTAAAAAAATAATTATAATTTATATAGCGTTCACTTATAGAATATTCTTTATTGAATACCTGGACTTAATTATTTGTAAAATATACTGCTAGAATTATGAAACCGCATAATTAATAAATTAGGAACATATAAGCACATGTCAGACACCACTAATATGTCACTAACCTAGCACTCATTTGTGAGGGCAATTTGAGTACGATTTAAGTGACTCATTGAATTAGAATTGTTTATGAATACGATTAGGGTGAGTTTAGTATGAGATAAGTGTAAGCGGAACTTTAGTGAGATCTATGAATTAGGGCCTTAGTACTTTAGAATTTCGACATCACTGAATATTTTGGAAATCAGATAAGGTAGACTAGTTATCTATTATTATTATAGAAGACGTTAGATACATCGTTATTCACTTCAATAACCCTATTTCAATATTACATAGTACTACCGCTACTGTACTTTCTACATCTTTTTTTTCAAGCGAAAATTATTAAATTTACTTAACCATTTTCAGTAACGATAAATTATAATACAGATTTCTTAGTGCCTTTTCACCCGTGCTGGAACCAGCACTAGCGTATTATTTAAGAACGAGTATTTTTTGCACGTTTTAAAACTAGTTCAACGAGCAACACCCAATCCGTACTAGTGGCTACCTAGTTTCGACAGTGTGAGAAGGCACTAATGCAAAAATTAGAACCTATTTATTTACAAAATATACAGAAGGGACTTTTCCGATAAAACAGGTAAATAAATTTCATTAGGATGTAAATTACTTTAATTTTATGTATAAAATTGAAGAAGAAGTGATATCATAACAGATATCGTCGTTGTGCCTTCAAAATGCAACATATGAATTTTATCAAATTGTTCAGTGTATCACTTTTTTTTAAAATAACAACAATTATTTTTCATTTTACCGCGGACAGTCACAATTCTGTAGAAAATAAGATGATTGTTTTATGCCAGATTATGCGGTTTGATGTTGTTTATTGAACGTGCAGTATATAACGCGTTTTGCGCAAAATATCGCATTTTGAAGGTGCAACCACGATATATAAAACTGTTAGCTCTAACTGTTCTCATGGATAAAATAATAATGAAGAATTGATTAATGAATATATTACCAAAATGTCATCATTTCAGAAACCGATAAAAGTATGTTGTGGCTGGTTGATAGATATACTTTCAATATGCTATTTGAGATTCTGGGAAAATGTACAGATCTAACTTTTCCAGTGTACAAGTGAATAAAAATTTTCAAATGTGGGAATTTTAATTCTTCAATGTACATGGTGCAAGAAGTTTGACTGCCATTACTTCAGAATGAGATAAAGTAATCATAAATGAACAAAAAAGTTGTATATTACAGGGGCGTAAGATTAGCAGTTTTCAAAATACAGCGAGTATTAATATTGGGGAGTTTCATCACAACGTGACAACAGCGCTTAACCTAACGCTACACAGCTGGTGCATACCACGTGTGAATGCGTACGGAAAAAATGTAAACAACTATTATTATGAAACATTTAGTAAATTATATCGATTTTATAGGACGAAGATCGTGTTGTGCTTAAATTTTAGTAATTATGAATCTCTTAAAACAGGAACTTCTCTTTTAATCAGATTATGGATTTAAAAAATATATAGGTACTTTACCCAAAGATTCACGTCATCCAAATAATCATAGGTATTAAAAATAATTTAAGTACTTACCAAAAAGCAAAATTCGGTAATTTTTAAACGCACAAGTACAAAACAAACTACAACATTATGCTCAAAATGTCCACCACCATTTTCGATGCACGCGCGACAGCTTCGAATCCAATTTTGGCACTCTCGCTGGAAAACACCTCAAGAAAAGGAAATAGTGGTACGCAAAAAACACTCAGATACGGTCCAATTCCAGATACCAAATGAACTGCGAATTGCTGGACAGCTTAGTACCTCGTGTTATCCGCCGCGCCGTTGTCACATTGCTCGATATGAAATTTATCATATTTTAAATTTATTACAACGCTAATTATTTTTTAGAATTAAGAAGTTCAAAAAAGTGATAAACATTGTATTTTGTAGTATTATATTCATTAATTAATCGAACTTTTGTACATCAAGTTGGAGATTTTAATAATGTTTTTCTCGGAAATGATTATGTTTAGGACCCATGTCATATAAGGTTTTTTTTATTTATTTTAATGTATTCTATCGCCTGTTAAAATTAAGCCAGTCAAACTTGTAACACCCTGTATATAAAAATGAAATAAGAAATCATGATATTATAAACAAAAAAAGAAAACAGGAAAATATTAGCTTTAACTGTCGTTGTTGTTAAAGGCCGATTAAAACAATGTGTCACTAGAATTTCATTCTTAATACAAAAGTTGAGGAAAGTGCGAGAAAAAAATCAAATTATTTTTCTTGTTGGTTCATGTACTTCCAGTACGCTATATTGGTTCATGTACTTCCAGTACGCTATATAAAATAGCAGAAAATATGTACAAGGTGATCATTTCGGAGGGGCCATAAAGGAATAGGAATTTTTGTAGTATGATCCTTGAGTTTTGGAATTATGACTGCAAGAGACTTAAAAATAAATTAATTTATACAAATAGCTCGTTAGCTATATCAAAAGTTTGCTTTTACAGAAAATTAAAAAATTACACCGTATATTCCCAAATTTTGATCTAGGATCTTTTTACTCGCCTTTGCACCACTTTACTGTTTCAGTATAAGCAGATCATCATGAAACACCTTGTATGAAAGAAATTAAGTGGTTGCAAACAAAACTAACTGTGAGAAATAATGACTATGTTCTTCTTACAGTTTAATTAGCTCGCTAATTTTTAAATTCGATATAAGTTCTTTAATCATAGTTTTAAATTCTTGATCAAAATTAATAAAAATTGAAAAATGTTTCAGGCTGTGGATATCATTTAGACCTATTCATCTTGTCAATTTTAATCCAAATATGCTCTGTGATGGGTTTGCCGTGGTTTGTGGCAGCTACGGTACTCTCCATAAACCATGTGAATTCTTTGAAACTGGAATCTGAATGTGCAGCTCCAGGAGATAAACCCCAGTTCTTGGGGGTCAGAGAGCAAAGGGTTACCCACATACTGATATTCTTGTCCATAGGTCTCTCTGTCTTCTTAACGCCTATGCTAGGTCACATCCCCATGCCGGTGCTTTTTGGGGTGTTCTTGTATATGGGGGTTGCATCTCTCAAGGGTTTGCAATTCTTTGACAGGATACTCATTATGTTCATGCCAAATAAGTACCAACCGGATTACATGTTCTTGAGACAGGTAAGACGAGAAAATCGTGTAAATACAGCAACGACATTGCTCCAAATTTTCAGAACAGAGTTGAAAGGAAAGCAAGATTTTTTTGTTAAAACTATTTCTAACGGCTCGAAACATTGTTTTTGATAAATTACTCAAGAACCATTAAAGATATACTTGGTACAGTAAAGTAATTTCGTATTAGCTCCCTCTATATAAAATTTGAACAAAAACTACCAAGTGTCATGGGAATTGAAGGAGGCCTAAAACATCAAAGATAAAGTTATTGACTGTTGAGGATAATGTGCGATTAAACCTTTTATACCTTTCATATAACGCAATGATTACGAATCATCATCATGATAATACTACAAACTCCTTGACTACTAAACAGAGTTTCCTCTTAAAACTGATTCTTCTGAAGATCAACTAACATCAGCAATACGAAAGAACGTCGCAAATAAAAGTTGCACCAAGTCAATTTATTCACATTTTGAAAGTATTTTTTATAGAAAGACATATAAAGACAACATATCTTTAATAAACTAGAGAGAAAATAATTTTATATCGGCTTGTATCATATTTAACATACGGTTCCAGTAAAAGTTCTGAGATCCGTAATTATTTACATTTTGCAAAACATAAATTAAAAATAAATAAATAACTGAATGAACTCTGAAACGTAATACTTAAACTTAATATTTATTTATTAAAATAGCCCTTAAGTTCAAGGAGAATATCGAAGATTCGGATGTTCCATTTGAGAAAATTAAATTAGAGAACGCTCACAGAACATAGGACATCCTGATGAAAATAGTTTTAACATTTTGGAATTGATTTGGGGTAAATTTAATTTGAGACATTTTTTGTATTACTGAGTTACATAAGCTTCGGAATAATATGTTTAAAATGGAACATTTTGAATTTAAAAGCCAATTATCTTGCCTTCAATTTACCGCTACTAGAAGAATATAACCACATAAAAAAATTAATTTTGGAAATCGGCCAACGCCATCCTAAATACGGAGGTGTTCCGACTTTAAAAATTTACAACCTAAACTTATGTGAAATAGTGTATATGTATTTTTAGCGGTGGATTTAACCATGTATTTCATGTCCAATCTTTGAAGAATGATAGATTCCCTGGATTGTTTGGAAAAAATTATTACTTCAATTTTCTTATTTCCATGAACGCAATTATTTCTGAAAATTTGTTGCAATATACCTAGCTGTTGTACAAAACTAATTAAAAATTATCGGAAAATTTGTAATCGAATAATAATTATCCTTAATGTTATGTTTTAGGTTCCTATCAAGAAAGTACATATATTCACCATCATCCAACTGACCTGTTTGATCTGCCTGTGGATGGTCAAATCCTTTAGTCAGACTTCGATATTGTTCCCGCTGATGTTGGTAGTAATGATTGGCATAAGAAAATCGTTAGATTTCATCTTTACCAGAAGAGAGTTAAAAATTTTGGATGACGTCATGCCCGAGATGTCGAAACGGCATCAACTGGAAAACGCAGAGGTGGGGGTTGGTGCTAAATTTGCTAGATTCTTTTTAGGCCCGAAATTGATTAAGGAAAAGGAATATGTAAAATGTGTTCAGACCATAAAGTAAATTTATTTTGGTACCATTAACAGTATAATAATAGAATACAAATGCAAAATGGGTATTATGAAAATGTATAATTAAATATACAGGAAAAAGTATAAGTATTCAGAATTATAGGTTTTTTTAATAAATTATTATCAATACTCTCTTATAAATGTGTCAAAATAAAGATATTCCTTTTTTTCTTGCGTTTCTGGGGTCATTTCTTATTAAAAATGTAATGTCTTAAAAATAACATACCTAAGAAAACCTGCAAGTAGCATCTCTAACTAAATACATTGCAGATTTGAAACATGTTTTATTGAAGGCAAAATAATAGGAATAATATTATTAATTAGCAGTATTGTCAGTCAAACTGCAATAGTACAAGGTGTCCCAATATTCCGTGTACATCACAGATTTGTGTGGTCAAAATAAACGATTTATCTAAATTTACGTCTCTCTAAAAATTAAAATGCTTTGTCCAGTTTAAATAAAATTTTGGACATTAGTACTTGCGTATTGATGTCACTTTTTGACATAGTAACCTAACTAACTGTTTTCATAGAAATGGGGAAAAACCCTCACATCTAAGCAAATAAGCTAATTTTTTTTGCTGGTTTCATTGCAACTTCAGTTTTTTTATCAGAAAGGCGATCGTTCTTTGCGGTTTTTTTTTAATTTTATTAATAATGAAAAAAGGATTTGAATTTCTGTGATTATTCTTGTGTGACGAGCATTGAATTAGAGGAAAAATTATTAAGTATATTTATTTATTTTACTTAACCGGTAGTGAAAATAGTGATCATTTTCGTGGAAAAGGAGTATAAACTTTATTGTTATTTCATTTTTAGAATCAAATAAATTAATAACGTTAAAAGAACTCAGACGATTTCCCCCATATAGCCTAGCCCGAGAACAACAACGGCATGTCAGAGATTCCTAAGTAAGGTTAAGAAAGTGCATAAATGCACAGTAAGGCTGTAACGACTATGTACATAGGCCACGGCATAATAACCTGAAACCCCATGATATTTTAATTAAAAAAAATAAATTAATAAAACCATGGGGTTACTTTCCGCATCTAGTGACATTAGGTTATTATGTCAAAAAGTAATATCTATAAGCACGTGCTAACATACCAAATTTAATTTAATTCGGACAATGCGTTTCAAAGTTATTTGATAATTTTTGCAATCTTTAAAGCCTTTTAGCAGTTAAACTAGACAATTTTGGAAAAAGATATTTAGTATTATTTCAAAGAAGAATCTTTTAAATATAAGACATACCTGGCTATATGCCATTTTAATATAATTCATTTCTATTTTTTGCATTTTTTCTTCAAATTTCTATTTCGTTTTGAGATTTTTTATAAAAGAAATTCCAAAAAATGAGATTTTTTTAGGGTTTCCAGTTTTAATTAATAAAAAATGACAGCATAAACAATAGAAACAAATGCTATTAGTTGCCTCCCCTTTGATTCCATATGATATCTGATTTAACACTTGATATTTGTAGACCCTGATTATTTAGTTAGGCAATACCTTATACTTAGATAATAAACTCAGGAAAAGAAAATGTCATTAAAATATAAAGAAAGCTTATTTATCACCCTTTTTATAAACAAAAATTGCTCTTCCTTAAAATTACCTCATTTTTGTTTTTTAAACAACTATTGTTAATCACAAATGAAAAAGTTACACTTAGTATGTTTTCCTGGTTACTGAGTATTTTCTGAAATGGCAAAATTACTAATAAGTTAATTAAATGCAAACATGTATTCCCGATAATGTTATTCCTTGTTCATTTTGATTAATTGATACAATTCGTGTCAATAGATAATTGTGATAATCTTTGCGAGTACCTATAATAGATACTTTAGCAAAATATACACGCATATATGTTATATAGAAATAATATAGTTACTTACAATAACATTCCATCCGCTTGTTATCCTTATTGTTAGTTACATTTAATTTATATTTTATAGTATTGTTTATTTAAATAAATTATTATCATTATATTATGTTTTTTCATTTATTTATTTGCTGCACATACTAGCTAACTTCAGTGTCAGTCTCATTTATACACATCAGAGCATTACACACATTTAAAATCAGTGTCACAAAAGTTATTTTTATATTTCATTTATGATCACTAATGTACAAATTGTCTCTGAAAAGCATGTTCCAGCAAGCACTATAATTTCTCGAACCAGACAATAAAACATTTAGACCAACTCATTCAATTAAGAAACATTTAGATAAAAATAATTTACATACTTTGTTAGGATCAATGATACGATACTGTATATGTATATTATGGAGTGGCCTAGATAAAACTTTATTATACAGGGTGTTTCAGAAAGACCTCCCTCAGGGGAGTGATAGTACGACAAAAAATAAGAATGAATATGAAGAAACTGAAGTTTTTCAGTTAGAAAATTATTTATGTATAATTTTCAAATTTACGTTTTCTAATACAACATTAATTTTTAATGATTATATTAATTAACATAATAGTTTATATTACATCTACATAATAGGGTGTTACATCGATTCCAGATATAATAAATAGAACCCATCTTTGAGGCAAATCTTAAACGGTCATAATACCCTTAGAGTAGGTATATAAGTTTATCTACATTACCTTCCTTCTTTTTTAGCACCAAAAATTGTGCTAAGTATCTTATTTGTAAACTAAACCTAAAACATAAATCTGTCGGACAAATTATTTAAAAGAAAATGTTATAAAATGTGTACTTATAGAAAATATTACATGCATCCCTACATATAGTACTTTCTTAGATATTCAAAGAGAATATATTAATCTCAGGTAGTTATGCACTATTAAGAAGCTTCTAGTAAAATAGCTAGAAACAGTGTGCTGTACAACATTGAGAGAGCTACATCTCAACAGACATTGACTTTTGTATATAGGTAAGTTTTCATCCCAGGAATCTATGTTGACCTGTTGGTACATGCATTTCTGTAATACCCTGTATATTTAACAGTTTGCTACTCTGAAAATAACTATGAAAAACTTAAAATTTGATAATCTAATTCAATTTTTTTTTCATAAAATAAAATCATGTGAACATATAACTTGAAAAATATATTAGGTACCTATGCATAATATACCTAGTTAAATATATTTTCTCCAAAACTAAAATGGTATTCTTATACTTACCCAAAATCTATTTATTACACATTTTCTGATCATCTTCTACTTTTCAGTTACTTATCGCTTACTTTTAAATTTATTTGTATTAAACTATTTCTTAATTGTTGCATGAACAACACATTTAAGTGATTGCAAAAATAAAAATATATTTTCTACATCATTACAACTATCTTTGATATTGCAAAAAAGGTATCTAGGAATTGAAGCCATGATGTAGCTATACAAGGCGTCATAACGTTCCGTGTACATGAGGCAGTCACAAAATCAAAATAGAACGGTATAACTAAACTTATTTGCATTCAAAGTTACTTCGTTTAGCCACCAGAGGGCAGCATAACTTTCAGAAAAAATTGTTTTTCTTTTCGAGTTACTGTAAAACGATGTGTGCAATTTATTCAATGAAATTAATAATACCAGTAGTTGTGTAGAGATGTCACTTTTTAACATAGTAACTGAATACCGAGGGAACTGAATTTACAGAAATTTTAAATATACCCTCAGTTCTTATTTTTTTTCTGTCTTATAAATTATTTTCTGTAACGGTTTTCGCATAATTAATTATGTACTTTATTAGAAATCAACTCATTTTCGGTTTAATGTTAAATAATGCTTGGAAACTTGTCTAAATATTCATAAATATCAGTGGCGGTTTTACCATAAGAGCAGCGGAGCTGCAGAACACATAAAATTTTATGTATTTAATCATATTAAATATCAACAAAATATTTAAAAAATCCAAATGTACTCGCGCTAAAATAAATCTAGGAGCTTATATTATTATTTATTACGACGCGAGCTACGCTCCTTAATATATGCAACCTCATATACAAAATG